CTGAAGTAATTAAGACCCCAGGTCAGCACACAGAATTTGCTTAGCCAGTAGTGGACAGAGAAAATAAGAAAAGTGGCCAGGTGTAGTGCGTCATCCCTGTAACCCCAGCATTTTAGGAGGCAGGGGTGGGTGGATCACCTGAAGTCAGGAGTTTGAGACCAGCCTGGCCAATGTAACATGGTGAAACCCCATCTCTACTAAAAATACAAAAATTAGCCCAGTCTGGTGGTGCTGCATGCCTGTAATCCCAGCTACTAGGGAGGCTGAAGCAGGAGAATCGCTTTAACTTGGGAGGAGGAGGTGGTAGTGATCCAAGTTCACGCCACTATACTCCAGGCTGGGCTGCAGAGTGAGACTCCATCTAAAAAAAAAAAGCGATGACAAATAATAGTGTAAGTATTTTAGTATTTCTGATTACTTATCTTTAACAGTATGTCTTCTGAATAGCAACTTGAGATCTGTCATTCTTAGGAGTTTGCCACCTTTCCAGGTTTGGATGGTTAGGACTGTAATGTTCTTTATGGTGCAGTTCCTTTTTTTGTTGTGTTCTCAGAGCTAGGGTCAGAAGACTCATGGGGAACCCGCTTAACCTGGGAATGGTGGATCTATGGTTTGGCTCTTGCCAATTTTAGGAATGAGTCATCAGTAGTACCTCATATGGTTCCATCCAGGGTGAAGTTTATCTTAAACCAGTTTTCTTAGAGTCTGGAGAGCAGTCACTTGAGGTGTCCCGATATTAGACTCAAAGCATCGGAAAAAGCCAGTGGCAATCTGATGTTTCCTTCTGTAAGCCAATTTACAGGGACTCAGGAAAGAGGTAGTAGCAATTTTAATGAGTTCAAGTGAGAAAAATAGAAGAAACGTTAGTTTGAAGACTTGTAGCCAGGAAGGAATTCAGGATTTAGTTCAAATAAAAGCTCATGAGCAATGGACAAGGCTAGCATCTAATAACTGGTATACTCTAGTTTCCTTCTGAAACATAATTTTTCTTTATCCAGTCTCCCATTTCAACCAAAGACAACTTATAATAGGACCAGTTTATCTGTTAAACAAGTCTGAGTCTTATTATACTTCGCCTAATTATTTGCATAAAGCACAGCAAGAATAGTTACTTGCTATAAAGGCTCCTTTTAAATTGGCCTGGCTGGAATGTTTTTTATAAGAAATCTCAGATTAGACTTTTAAAAGCCTCGTGAACCAAACCAATTTGTCTGTGCCTGTAGATATCTTTATGAATTGGGTGAATTCTCTTTATGATGCCCCAAATGTCTTGAGGTTCCTGGGTCTGTCAGAAAGTTACATACTTAGGCACATGCTAGTCACAGCACTGTGGGAGGCTGAGGTGGGAGAATCGCTTGAGCCCAGGAGTTGAACAGCTGGGAAATGTAGTGAGACCCTTTCTCTAAAAAATTTTTTTTAATTAGCTGAGCAGGGTGGCACATGACCACAGGCTACTTGGGAGGCTAAGATGGGAGGATTGCTTGAGCCCAGGAGATTAAGGATGCAGTGAGCTGAATTGTACCACTGCACTCCAGCCTAGGCAGCAGAGTGAGACCTTGTCTCAAAAAAAAAAAGTAAAAAGAAATGAAAAAGTGCTTCTTACTTAGAGCAAGGTCAGGAACATAGGGGCTTGTTATTGGCTCTATAAAGTCAACCTCAGTTCCTCTATGCAGTCTAGTTATGTCTTAAAATATGCCATTTCAGTCAAACCCCTGGTAAAATAACCAGTGTCTCTAATTGTGTCTTCTTATAAGAGAAAATCGATTCTTACTGAATTTATGCAAATAAGTATATTGCTATATATTAAGACTACTCAAACATAGTTTCCAAATATTGGAGTATTAACAACAACAACAAAAAAGACTGAGACAAGAGTTTCAATTGATAAAGGTTTATTTAGCCAAAATTTGAGGATGCACCCTGGCAGAACACAAGTCACAGCAGCATGTATGACCTGTGCTTTTCCAAAGAGGGTTTTGGGAACTCAATATTTAAAGGGGAAAGAGTAAGCAAAAAGGGAAAATAAGGAAGGGAGGCTAGACAGTAAGGCAAGTGGCACATGGTTACAATCTTGTGAGGCTCTAATTAGTGCTCAGTAAATCTATATTTTATGTAAAATAAACATGAAAAGAGAAGGGAATAGAGGAAAAAATCAGTTATGAAGTTGTCTCAGGGTAGGCAGTTGGATGATTTCTAGTCTTGTTCTGTACCTGTGAAGATACAGCTAGATGTAAGAAATGTCAATTGATAATTGACATTGTCAGTATGAGGTTTAATAGAACTCTGTTTTAGGTCTAGTTTATAGGGGGATATGTATTTGAAAGATTTAGGGGCTCACAAGGAATTTCTTTGGTAAGTCATTCATTAGCCAAACTGATAATTCAAAGATTTCAAAAAGTAAAACCCTTTATTGTTTGATAGAGAAGAAGCTCACTTTTCCAAACAATCGTAAGACCTGATAAAGACAGCATAAGGCCAACTGAATCTGTTTTTCTCTCTCCCCTTTTAATTTTTTTGGAGTTTACTAAAAAGGTAAACAAATCTTTTATTACCTCCTACTAATATTATAGGAAAATCTCATTCAAAAAAGAAAACTAAATTTTATCATTGCGTTAGTGTATTATTAATGCAAAGGCTAATTTTAATAAAACCTTATGAAGAATTCCAATTTCAGTTTTGATCGTAAAAGATAAGTCTTTTATTTATAAACTGTATATAATTTTTATTAAAGAGCAGATCAGTGCTCCAAGAAAACTGTTACTTTGACACAGTAGCCCAGACTCTGGCCTTGCATTCATGTACTTTTGATATTAATGGCTATTTTTTTTGTATTTTTTGTAGAAACGAGGTTTTGCTACCTTGCCCAGGCTGGTCTCGAACTTCTGAGCTCTAAATTATGATTATTTTATTTGAAAAACAGATAAATCCCAGTTTTCGGTCTTAGGCTAGAGGTTCCCTTCCTTGTCTTTCTTTGAATATTATTCTTAGTTTTTGCTTTTTATCATCATCAAGGATCTGCTTAAGTGTACCTTGTCTTAGACGACTTCCCTGACTGCTTTCTTCTATCTTACATTCCGTATTTATCTGTCATTCTGTATTATACTGGTTTATCTCATTATTAGATAGTGAATGCCTGATGATGAGGAATTTGGTTTTTACTCTTTTTATCCTTAATGCAGCATGGTATCTGATATATAAAGGGTGCTAAATAAATGCCTATTGAAATAAATGAAAAAATTAGTATAAATGGGGCTGGATGTGGTGGCTCATGCCTGTAGTCCCAGCACTTTGCGGGGCTGAGGTGGGTGGATTGCTTGAGCCCAGGAGTTCAAGACCAGCTTGGGTAACTTGGCAAACCCTGTCTCTTAAAAAGATACAAAAATTAGCCTGGGATGGTGGCATGTGCCTCTGGTCCCAGCTACTCCAGAGACTGAGGTGGGAGGATTGCCTGAGCCCAGGAGGTTGAGGCTGCAATGAGCTGAGATGATGCCACTGCACTCTAGCCTACACAACAGTGAGAACTTGTCTCAAAAAAAAAAAAAAAAAAAAAAAAGGAAAAAATTAGTGTAAATGGGAGCAGTCTGTAATAGACACCTAGTCATCAAACTGGCACAGTGGTTTTGCAGATAAGAATCAGGAGCCTGGGCTGGGCAAGGTGACTTAGGCCTGTATTTCCAGCACTTTGGGAGGCCGAGGTGGGTGGATCATTTGAGGTCAGAAGTTTGAGACCAGCCTGGACAATATGGTCAAACCCCGTCTCTACTAAAAATACAAAAATTAGCTGGATATGGTGGTGGGCACCTGTAGTCCAAGCTACTCGGGAGGCTGAGGCAGGAGAATCACTTGAACCTGAGAGGTAGAGGTTTCAGTGAGCTGAGACTGCACCCCTGCACTCCACTCTGGGCAACAGAGAGGGACTTCGTATCAAAAAAAAGACACACACAAAATAAACAAACAAAGAATGAGGAGGCTGACATCGTGGCACATGCCTGTAATGCCAGCCACTTAGGAGGCTGAGGTGGATTGCTTGAGCCCAAGAGTTTGAGACTAGCCTGGGAAGTATAGCTAACTCCATCTCAATATTCCTGTGGGGCTACCAGTCTGGGGGCGGGATTTCATTTTCATAGAGATGTAACCATTTTTCAGTTTAGCAGCTTTGAAGATGGATATGTCAAATATTTTATAGAAAAGGAAATCAACAGTTTAATTTTATGTGATTTTGCTTTAATATTAATGCTTAGGCTGACATGACTGTTCTGTCTATTGAGGGATGCATTTCTCTTAGGCTAAGTCTTCTGGTATGATAGAATATTTACTTACAAACTGAGAAATAGGGGAGACCTAGTGGTGGGTTGTATAATGTCTTTACTAAAATATGGTTTTTTAATAGGTAAATATATTTATATAGTTCAAAATTTAAAAATACAAACGGTATATTATGAAGTATTCTTACCTTCATTTCCCTCCAGCTGTTCAAAAACTGATTAACTTTTGGGATTCCTTCTCCAGAGCAACCAATTTTATTAGTTTACAGATAGTGTTTTTGTGTGTGTGTGTGTGTGTGTGTGTGTGTGTGTGTGTGTACTTGGATTTTTTTTTTTTTTTTATTCTAAGCTGATTACTTGTATGGGTGTAAAGAACAGCTGAATAGGCCAGGTATAGTGGCTCACACCTATAATCCCAGCACTCTGGGAGGCCTAGGAGGGCAGATAACCTGAGATCGGGGGTTCCGAGACCAGATTGATCAACATGAGGAAGCCCCATCTCTACTAAAAATCCAAAATTAGCCGAGAATGGTGGCACATGTATGTAATACCAGCTACTTGGGATGCTGAGGCAGGAGAATTGCTTGAACCTGGGAGGTGGAGGTTGCCGTGAGCCAAGATCGTGCCATTGCACTCCAGCCTAGGCAACAAGAGTGAAACTCTGAAAACACACACACACACACACACACACAACCTGAATCAAAATGTGTGATGATTATTTTTTTTTTTTTCCAGATACATCAAATTACAGAATGGCTTGCAGGCACTTTTGATTTCAGACCTAAGTAATATAGAGGGTAAAACAGGAAATACAACTGATGATGATGATGAAGAAGAAGAGGAGGTGGAGGAAGAAGAAGATGATGACGAAGATTCTGGAGCTGAAACACAAGATGATGAAGAGGGTTTTGATGATGAAGATGAGTTTGATGATGAACATGATGATGATATTGATACTGAGAATAATGAATTGGAAGAATTAGAAGAGAGGGCAGAAGCTAGAAAAAAAACTACTGAAAAACAGGTGTGAGTCATGTCTGTTTTCTTCTAATTTGGGAATTCTTTGGGACAACTTCTAAACTCGAGCTTTATTTCTTAATGGCAAAAAGGAAGTATATATTTATCTTTCGGTCTTCAGTAAAAGTCTATTCTGTATCATGATTACATTTTGAAAACATTTTGCTCTGATTATAAAAGTAATAAATGCTCATTATAGAAACTAATGGAACATAAAGAAAACAAAATTATAAAAATCTCCCATAGCCATATGTCTCAGAGGTAATCAGCACTCAGAGGTATTTGAATTTATGTGTAGTTGTATACATTTTATGTTTTAAAAACAAATACTGGTTGATGAGGATCTGCAAAATTCTTAGCCTGGATTAGAGAAATAGGAGTATGTTATCCTTGGTAAGACTGGAAAAAGAAGAAAATAATGGGGCTAGTGTGAAATCTTTACATGGGCCTAGAGCTCTGACAGTTATTGTATGGGTAGTTTCTATATAGATAATTGGGTTTGGTTTAGCTCTTTTTATGAGAAAGCAAAGGTCTGGTTAAATGAGTACTTTGGAAGAGTTGAAATAGAAACAGGGCAGTTGAGCTTATTTGATATATAACAAGTCAGTGAGTAGATAAACAGGGCTTGATAGGGAGAATTTCTTAATATCTTTTGAAGAATACCTCCAATTTTGTAGTAAGGAATACCCAGAGGATAATTTTTAGAATGCTTATGGTGGAATTGACCTGCAAAAGTTGGTAAAAGCTAGTTTCTTGAATATTGATAATATATTCAGGATGATACAGTTTACATACAAAGAGGCCAAGATGGGCAGATCATTTGAGTCCTGGAGTTCTGAGACAACATGGTGAAACCCTGTCTCTGTAAAACATTAAAAAAAAAATTAGTTGGGTGTGGTGGCACATGCCTGTGTTCCCAACTACTTGAGAGGCTGAGATGGGAGGATCACCTGAGCCTGGGGAGGTCAAGGTTGCAGTGAGCTGTGATTGTACTACTGCATTCCACCCCAGCTGACAGAGTGAGATTTTGTCTTAAAAGAGAAAAAAAAGTGGTCACCCTTAAAGATGTGAAGATTTGAGATGTAAGTAGTAGGTATGATTTAATAGTCATTCTTAAAAAAAAAAAAAAAGTCATTCTTCTTGGAAAAAATTATTTTTTTCAAAAGAAAGATTGTACCAGTTATTTTCCTCAGTTGTTGGATTGAGTCATATTTTTAAGAAGCTTTTTGCTGTTTAGTAAGATTATTAGTGATCCTGTTTTTGGGTAGCATGATAGGCCAAATATTAAATAGTTTTAACTTGGAAAGCTTTAGAGATGGGGGAATAAGGTATATATATGTCACTTGATAGTCTATATATAGTCTGTATGCTAAGGTCTCTATGAACAGATTGGAAATTGATAGATTTACTTTTAAATAGATCTCATAATTCCAAATAGAGCAGTAATAAAAAGGAAGAAATTATATAAGTCACAAAATGAAAAGAACACTGACAGTCAGGAAACCTGGGTTCTAATTCTGGCTCTGTTCCTGTCTTTCTACATGATTTTAGGTGTTTTCATTTTCTTTTTTTTCCCCCTCAATTTTAAAACAAGAATATAAATTCTAAGGCCCATTTTAGCTCTAAGCCTGACCATGTTACAACTTCTTAATTGAATGCTTCTCATGTATGCATTTTTTCTATATCTTTCCATCTATCTATAAGTAGCTTTTCCCATGATCTGATTTCTTTATATTTCCTAATAATTGACAAAGCATTTTACAACTATTAAAAATTGTTTTGACAGCCATTTTTAATGTCAAGACATTATAAAATACTTAACATTTATACAGCAATTGTGAACACCTTTGACAAATGAAGATATATGTTCAGCTTTTTTGGTACCCCTTTTTATTTTGCTGAGGTAGATCAAATTCTAAGTTTATCTTTTCTAGCAGCAGGGTCAGAGTCTAGTGATCATTTTTTAAATGGCTTAGATGCTACCTTTCTTTTCTGAGAACTCAGTGTGATATAATCCTTATAAGATATTGACAGCTAATTTTATGGATTATCCTACTGGGACAGTGGAACCTAAGTAGTTTGAGGACAAGATCAGATTGTTTTGATTCAAAAGCAATGGGTTTAGTGAAAGGAAAGATCCTATGATCATAAGTGGTAGATGTTTATATTCACTGAATAACTTTCTGAAAAAAGGAAATAAAGTAGATTATTTTTGGTAAAGATGGCTTAAGAGTGGTATAGGGCTTTGAAGTGGTTTTATGATCTAATTTTTATTTGAAAAATATGAACCTTGTTTAAGGTAAATATGAGAATTAATAAAGGAAGTGGGAAGTAAAGTATTTGATAGTTTTTTGGAGAATATTTACCTAATTAAGAAGTTTACTTTTCTGAGGCATCTTTTTTATCCCTCTCCATTTTCCTCCTCCCAAAGGAAGTTGTTCTTGATTTTAAAAGTTTGATAAATTAACAAGATTGAAATTTAAGTATGATATACACTGAATTAAGATTTGTTCAGGGCTTTCTTAATTCAATTCTCAAGTATGAATTTCTCAGGTATGAATTTTTTAGGTAGAAAATTCTCAAGTATGAATTTCTTTTCTAGCAATCGCAGAGCCTGTTTTTGCTGTGGTCAAAGCTGACTGATAGACTGTGGTTTAAGTCAACTTACTCAAAAATGTCTTCAACCCTGCTGGTCGAGACAAGAAATCTTTATGGGGTAGTTGGAGCTGAAAGCAGGTTAGGCACCTATTAAAACATCACAGAACAGGTTAGATTGTGGTTTGAAGCACCTATTAAAACATCACAGAACAGGTTAGATTGTGGTTTGAAGAACTGGATATTCCCCCATGTTTTAACTGACTTTATGTGCCGAAGTCTTCAAAATGGGGTTTACAGTATCAAGTGAGGCTGTTTGGTTCTTCCGAAAACACACTTTCATTTTATGACACATGGCTAGACTTTATGCCAGGTACATGCTATTTTTTGAAAAGCTCTTTTTTTAAGAGGGTAACTTTATCAGAATAATCTGTTTCACCAAATATGTTAGCCCTGTAAAATTGACATTTGCAAAGTTTGAAGAAAACAAATGAATTTGGGAAAGTTAATAATTCACCTTTCTGCCTTCAAGGATTCAAATTGACCATTTTTTCCGCCTTACTTTGTTTTTTCTTTTTGAGATGGAGTTTCGCTCTTGTTACCCAGGCTGGAGTGCAATGGCATGATCTCGGCTCACCGCAACCTCCGCCTCCTGGATTCAGGCAGTTCTCCTGCCTCAGCCTCCTGAGTAGCTGGGATTACAGGCATGCGCCACCATGCCCAGCTAATTTTTTGTATTTTTAGTAGAGACGGGGTTTCACCATGTTGACCAGGATGGTCTCGATCTTTTGACCTTGTGAACCACCCGCCTCGGCCTCCCAAAGTGTTGGGATTACAGGCTTGAGCCACTGCTTACTTTGTTTCTTAACTTACTATAATTATGCCCCAACAGTCCGGGTGCAGTGGCTCACACCTTAATCCCAGCACTTCGAGGGGCTGAGGTGGGAGGATTGTTTGAGTCCAGGAGTTTGAGACCAGCCTGGGCCTCATAGCTAGACCCGGTCTTAAAAAAAAAAAAAAAAAAAAAAATTATGCCCCAGTCATTTTAAGTGCAGTTTGGTGTAACTCTTGGCCATCAATTTTGTTAAAAACTGATTTTCCCAAAGTATTGGGAGAATATATACTGATAAGTAATGTATGCTATGTATCTTCAATTAGAAGGGAAGAACTAAAAAGCCTCTTTAAAATTTAGTTATACTTTTTAATAGCTACCGATTTTATCTTTTTTATCACTTACTATTTTTGTTAGATGTTTTCCTAAAATGTTCTTACTCTATTTTAATAAAATTTTCTAAGTTACATGTTGAGAGGTTTCACATCTAGTAACTGAGTCACTCAACATAAAGCTTTTAATTGTTTAGAGATCTTTAGAAATACCTACCTAGATATGTTACTGTTACAGATTTCAAAATCTAATAATTCAGGGAAAAAAACTTGGTTCAGAATTCTGAAATGGTGAAATGAAATGATATTTGGGAGGGCTGTCCAGTCCCTCTTCCCTTTTTTTCTGTCTGTTTCTGCTTTTTTCCTTAGGTCTGCACCTGTTCAGCATTTGGCAGGATGGCATGTGGAGGAGCAGCAGGGTGAAACTGACACAGTTCTGGTGAGTTTCACTTTGCTGCTCCTCCTGATTCTCAGGGAAAGAATTTTGTTATCTCCTATTGGAAAACATCCATCTTCAAATGAATCGTTAAGATGCGAATATTATTCCTTTAGGGTTGACTCAACTATTTGTATGTATTCTTATTACTCCAATCTGCGAATATTATTCCTTTAGGGTTGACTCAACTATTTGTATGTGTTCTAATTACTCCAGTCTGCAGCGGCTCTTTGTGTTGGAGTTGGGAGTTTCGCTGATCCAGATGACCTGCCGGGGCTTGCACACTTTTTGGAGCACAGTAAGAATTTGTAAAATATCATTCCCTGTTTTATTTTTTCCTCCAAACATATGTGAATTGATATCAAAGATCAGTAATTGATTTGAGAGAAGTATGATATATTTAGCAAGAGAAACGGCTAAGAAAAAAATGCTTGATTTATGAATGTCATGGGTGAAACTTTTAATTTTAATCTGGGTGTACTTAGTTTGAGAATTAGAATGAAACCACATAGAAAACTTTAAAATTGTAGATGTTGCTATTATTGAGCTGAGATAAGGCCAACAGATCAGGAGATGATTGCCATTTTCTAGGAATTGGCTACCCCTGGGGAAGGCAGTCCCTTCCAGGGTTAGCAAGGCCCCCAGCATTAGAAATATGGGAATTATCTGGGTGAGGTGGCTCATGCCATCATACCCAAACTTTGGGAGGCTGAGACAGGTGGATCACTTCAAGTCAGGAGTTTGAGACCAGCGTGGCTAACATGGTGAAACTCCATTTCTACTAAAAATACAAAAATTAATTGGGTATGGTGGAGGCCACCTGTAGTCCCACCTACTCGGGAGTCTGAGGCAAGAGAATCGCTTGAACCTCGGCGGTGGAGGTTGCAGTGGGCCAAGGTTTTGCCACTTTATCATCCAGCCTGGGTGATAGAGTGAGACTCTGCCTCAAAAAACAAAACCAAAAAACTGGAAATTCAAAAGGCATTAAAAACAGAACAATAGAAATTTTCCATTTAATTTGGAATGTGCCTAAATAAAACCTATGGGGATGTTACACAGTTATAAATATTTATTTTTCTGAATTACTCATTTTTTAATGGTCTGGTTTTCTATCTAAAGTTTTTGAGAGTATACTTCTTACTTTAAGTTTTACAGTAGCAATTAATCTGCATATATGTTTGTACTTAAATTTTAATCTCTTTAAATTTAAGAGATTAAATTGTAAAAGCTGTAGCAGTTAATCTGCATTTATGTGAATTTCTTTGAATTCTAATCTATTTAATAAAATATTTTAATCTATTTAAATTTAAGTCTCTTTTTAATTTCTTTATAAATTATATGTTTGTCTTAAAAGTAACATTAGCATTACAGAAAGTTACAAAAACAAATGTAATGAAGAAAGTATTATTTAGGTTCGGGTGTGGTGGCTCATGCCCTAGCCCTTTGGGAGGCCAAGATGGGTGGATCACTTGAGGTCAGGAGTTGGAGACTAGCCTGGCCAACATTGTGAAACCCCATCTCTACTAAAAATACAAAATTAGCCAGGCATGGTGGCATGCACCTGTAATTCCAGCTACTTGGGAGGCTGAGGCGTTAGAATCACTTGAACCCACGAGGCAGAGATTGCAGTGAGCCAAGATCCAGCCTAGGCAACAGAGTGAGAGAGACTCTGTCTCAAAGGGAAAAAAAATTCAGACATAAGCATTTAATGTGTTGGTTTATTTTCTTTGAGTTTTTCTTTTTTTTTTTTTTACTCGATTCACAGCCAAATCTTTCAGGTTTTCAATGCATGTAAGTACATATATGATAAATACATTGTCCATATCTTTGTGTTCTTTCCATTTAGTGGTATTCATGGGTAGTTTGAAATATCCAGATGAGAATGGGTTTGATGCCTTCCTGAAGAAGCATGGGGGTAGTGATAATGCCTCAACTGATTGTGAACGCACAGTCTTTCAGTTTGATGTCCAGAGGAAGTACTTCAAGGAAGCCCTGGACAGGTAATTAACTCCAAATTTATTTTAATTTTAAAGATCTAATGACACTTCGAAAATGTAAATAGAGTAAATTGTCACAATACTTTACTTGGACCAGGCATGGTGACTCATGCCTGTAACTGCAGTACTTTGGGAGGCTGCAGTAGAAGGATTGCTTAAAGCCAGGAGTTTGAGACCAGCCTGGGCAAAATAGTGAGACCCTCTCTCTATAAAAATAAGTAAATAAAAAATTAGCCAAGCATGATGGTGCATACCTGTAGTCGTTGCTACACAGGAGGCTGAGGTGGAAGGATTACTTGGGTCCAGGAATTCGAGGCTATAGTGAGCTACAGTCACACCACTGTACTCCAGACTGGGTGACAGAGTGAGACCCTGTCTCAAACAAACAAAACTTTATTTGGAAAAAAGAGCTGTTAAACTATTAGATACACTTTGACTCTTGTTCTGTAATGCATAGTCTTTGTATTACAGATTAAAATAAAACTCAAAACTTTTTGGGTTTTATTAATAATGTATTCTCTATTGACTCATTATTACAAATTTTTTTAAGAGATAAGGTCTTGCCCTGTTGCCCAGGCTGGAGGGCATTGGTGCGATTGGCCATCAATTGCATGAATGTGTGGCTCAGTGCAACCGAAGTCTCCCAGCCTGAATGTGCTACCACCCCTAGCTAATTTTTAATTTTTTGTAGAATTGAGGGTCTCACTGTATTGCCCAGGGTGGTTTCAAGTGATCCTCCTGCCTCAGCCTTTCAAAGTGCTGAGATCATAGATGTGAACCACTTTGCTCAGCCATTTAAAAAACACTGTTTAATAGAAAATATGGAAAAACAGAGAAGCAAAAAGGGATAAGATTGCCTCTAATTTTACAATCTAGAGATAACCACCATTAATGTTTTGGTATAGTGCTATCTATATTTTTTAATGTATACGGATCTTATTGTTCATACCCTTTTATAATTGTTAGTTTTAAACAAGATATATCATTTAAACATATATAATTTATAAAACATGATTTTTAGTGATCGTATATTATTTACATTGTATAGGAATACCATAAGGTATTTAACCAGTTACATATGATTGGACAGTTGAATTGTTTCCAGTTTTCTAATACTGTAATGGTGTGTTGACTATTCTAATCTCTGTGAATATCCTTAATTATTAAGTTCTAAGAACTGAAATTGCTGAGTATATTTGCAAATATATATGTATATAATTTTTTGAGGCGGAGTCTTGCTCTGTTGCCCAGGCTGGAGTGCAGTGGCGTGATCTCAGCTCAGTGCAACGTCCACCTCCAGGGTTCAGTCAATTCTCCTGCCTCGCCTCCCTAGTAGCTGGGACTACAGGCAGGTGCCACCATGCCCAGCTAATTTTTTGTATTTTTAGTAGAGATGGGGTTTCACTGTGTTAGCTGGGATGGTCTTGATCTCCTGACCTCAATGATCTGCCTGCCTCGCCCTCCCAAAGTTCTGGGATTAGAGGCATATTTTTAAGACTTTTTTTTCTTTAGGCTTTTGCTATTCATTGCAAAATTGTTTTCCAGAATGTCTGTCAGTACGAGAGTAGAAGCTTGAGATTATAAGGTTGCAGACCAAAGTCTATACTAGAAAAATGTAGAAAAGTAGAAAAAAGTTAACACCAAACGCTAGATAAATGCAAGATTGAAATGTAAAAAAAAAAAAAAAAAGTGGCCAGGTGCAGTGGCTCACACCTGTAATCCCAGCACTTTGGCAGGCTGAGGAGGGCAGATCACAAGGTCAGGAGTTTGAGACCACCCTGATCAACATGGTGAAAACCTGTCTCTACTAAAAATATGAAAATTAGCCGGGTGTGGTGACACGTGCCTGCAATCCCAGCTACTGGGGAGGCTGAGGCAGGAGAATCACTTGGACCTGGAAGATGGAGGTTGCAGTCAGCTGAGAGAGCACCACTGCACTCTAGCGTGGGCAATAGAGTAAGATGCTGTCTCAGGAAATAAAAGAAACCTCACATTTATCTGGTATAATGTAAGTTCCTTGAGAACAGGAATTTTTGTCTATTTTTTGTTGATATATCTGCAAATCAAGAATTTGGTAGGTACTCATATTTGTTAAATGCATCAATGGAGTTCCTTTATAGCAAAAATTACCATAAAATCAAAAGATAAATGGCCAAAGGAAAAAAAATTAAAACATGACAGAGATCTAATATTTTAAAAAGAAATTTGCCTGGTGTGGTGGCTCACGCCTGCAATCCCAGCACCTTGTGGGGGCTGAGGTGGGCAGATAACTTGAGGCTAGGAGTTTTGAGACCAGTCTGGCAAACATGTTGAAACCGCTCTACTAAAAATACAAAACTTAGGCCAGGTGGGGTGGCTGATGCCAGTAATCCCAGCATTTTGGGAGGCCGAGACCAGCAGATCACCTGAGGTCAGGAGTTCGAGACCAGCCTGACCAACATGGAGAAACTTCATCTCTACTAAAAATACAAAATTAGCTGGGTGTGGTGGCGCATGCCTGTAATTGCAGCTACTTGGGAGGCTGAGGCAGAAGAATCGCTTGAATCTGGGAGGCGGAGGTTGCAGTGAGCTGAGGCTGCAGTTAACATTTTACTCCAGCCTGGTCAATAAGAGGGACACTCTGTCTCAAAAAAAAAAGGAAACACAAAAATTAGCCAGGTATGGTGGCACACATATGCAATCCCAGCTACTTAGGAGGCTGAGACAGGAGAATCACTTGAACCCAGCAGACGGAAGTTGCAGTGAGCTGAGATGGCACCACAGCACTCCAGCCTGAGTGACAGAGTGAGACTCCTGACCACAGGTGATCCATCTACCTAGGCCTCCCAAAGTGTTGGGATTAGAGGCATGAGCCACTGCACCCAGCATGCCACTATTTTCAATGGAATAAATAGGTGTTCCGAACTCCCAAAATTAACTTTTACACTAAAGAAATGCCAAAATTCTATTAAAATTAACACAATGTTTTTTATAACATTAGGATACAAAATGACAGATTTTATTAATCTATAACATGGCTGTGTGTATGTATTCAATAAACTATTTAATAGCTCGAATCATGTACTTGAGTATATGCCCACAAAATAGCTATTTTATATTCAGAATTTATGTACTTGTACCTATGCCAAATAACAGAGATAAAAGACATCAATCAGGAAGGTTGGGCACAATGGCCATTACATATTTGTAGACAAATGACAGTGTCTGTAATTCCAGCACTTTGGGAGGCCAAGATGTGTGGATCACCTGAGCCCGGGAGTTCAAGACCAGCCTGGCCAACATGGTGAAATCTTGTCTCTACCAAAAATAACAAAAATTAGTTCGGTGTAGTGGTGCAGGCCTGTAATCCCAGCTACTCTCAAGGCTGAGCCATGAGAATTGCTTGAACCTGGGAGACAGAGGTTGTAGTGAGCTGAGATTGCACCACTGCAGTCCAGCCTGGGTGATAGAGCAAGATCCTGTCTCAAAAAAAAAAAGAAGAAATTAATGAAGGTAATGCAAATGGCACCTGAGATAATCTTTCCTATAAATTTAGAGAGGATCAGCAATACTTTCAGGGAAGACTTTAATCATGCAACTCTGAAGAAAACTGCATCTTTGGAGTTCTCAGCTCTTAAGGTTTACAAAATCCAAACAGGTCTTTGTATGTGTGAAGAAATCTTAAGCAGAAGAAAAGCTTTATATTTAGCTATGTGCACATATAAGGAAGGAAAAATAAAAACTCTTTTTTGGGAAAAAGGATAGGCAAATACTATGTATGATATAAATACATTCCGGCTGTCTCAGAGATAATAAAATTTGGTATACAGTATAGTTAAGGAGTTTGTTTTCTTTTAAAGAGTTGTTTTAAATACTTTTTGTACAAGGACTGCTTCAGCATCTAAGAATATCACCTTACACATTTATTTAAAAAGAAACCTACCCAATTAATAAGAAGAAAGCCACTGCATTAATAGGATAAACTAATAAGAATATCAAATAAATTTATGCCACAAGTAGGACATTATAGAATGCAAATACTATAATAAATGCTGTAATATTACACTTTTACAATGTACAAGGAATGAAAAGCCTTTATATCATATGTAATATGCTCTTATATAACATGGATTAAGTGCCTGTTTTTAATAGGTTAGCAAAATCTGATTCCCTTACACAGGCCACATTGTTTATAAGTATCTTGGATCACTTAAATAAACAGCCGAGGCAATGACTAAATTTTTACTCCAGTAAGTAAATGAGAATGGAAACTGTCTTTACCATGGTGGCATCTTCTATTTTCAGTGAATTTGAACTTTATTTTATCAGTATTTCAGGGTAAGAGTGACAAATATAAAAACTTAGGATGTCTGCAAGGCGGGACTTCTAACAGGATACACTCCCCATTGTAGTACACTTGCAAGGAATAAGAATTGTCAAATATGACCTAGGAGATTTGTAAAATGAAAAGAACTGAGCTATGATTAAAAAATTGAAAACGTAATGGACAAGTTTAAGAAAAGAGCAAATAGAGTTGAGGATAGAATTAGTAAGCCAGAAGATAAGCCAGAAGAAATTAGATATAGCATGAATAACATATATAACGCAAATATTACATGTAGCACAAAATTAAAAATACAAAGAATATGAAGCATAGAGGATAGAATGAAAATATCCCTTATATTTTACATGGAGTCTTAGAAGGAGAGAGCAAATCGAAGTAGAGGAAACATTTGAAGGGTTGATCACTGGAAAATTTTCAGAACTTCGTAAGACATCAAACCTAATAACTTCCAAAAGTATACATTAGAAGAAATTTAGAAAACTTTTGCCAGATAAACGAGAAAATTTTCTTCAAAGGAATACGAGTTACAGTGACAGATGAGTGACTACTAAACCTCAGTGCTCTGAAGGAAAATAACTACCCGCCAATCACAAATTCTACATTAAACATATCTTTTAAGAATGTTAGTAGGCTGGGCATACTGACTCATGCCTGTAATACCAGCACTTAGGAAGGCCAAGACAAGTGGATCACTTTGACCCAGAAACTGGAGACCAGCCTGGGTAACATTGTGGCAGGGGGTGGAAATTAGCAGGGCATGATGGTACATGCCTGTAGCCTCAGCTCCTTGGGATGCTGAGGTGGGAGGATCACCTGTGTATGGGGAGGTCAAGGCTCCAGTGAGCCGTAATATGCCACTACATACTCCATCATGGGCTATAGAATTAAATAAAATTAGTTTCATTATTTTAGTCAACAGAAATTACTTAACCCATCATTAATCACACCAGGTTCTGAAAAGAAAACAAAAATGCCCCTAGAGACCAAGTGCGGTGACTCACGCCTATAATCCCAGCACTTTGGGAGGCTGAGGCAGGTGGATCACCCAAGGTTGGGAGATTGAGACCAGCCTGACCAAAAATGGAGAAACCCCATCTCTACTAAAAATACAAAATTAGCTGGATGTGGTGGTGCATGCCTGTAATCCCAACTACTCAGGAGGCTGAGGCAGGAGAATCTCTTGAACTTGGGAGGCAGAGGTTGTGGTGAGCTGAGATGGTGCCATTGCACTCCAGCCTGGGCAACAAGAGCTAAACTCCCTCCAGGAAAAAAAAAAAAAAAAGCCCCAGTATATCTAGCAGGTAGTTAACAGTTATTTTATTGCAAGCAAAAGTTAAAAGTTTATTAAAGAAGTCTGAGCAATGTAGGGAGACCCCATCTCTACAAAAATTTTAAAAATTAAAAAAAAAAAAAGGTAGCACACACCTCTAGCCTCAGCTACTTGGGAGGCTAAGGCAGGAGGATGGCTTGAACCCGGCAGTTTGAGGCCACAGTGAGCAGTGCTTGTGTCACTGCATTCCAGCCTAGGTCATAGAGTGAGACTGTATATCCAAAAAAAATGTTTGCTAAACATTTTAGGTAATTAATTTTTTTATTGTTTTATTTTGATGGAAAAATAACAGTTTTGAATTTTTTTTTTTTTTTTTTTGAGATGGCGTGTTGCTCTTCTTGCCCAGGCTGGAGTGCAATGGCAAGATTGGCTCACCACAACCTCCGCCTCCTGAGTTCAAGCCATTTTCCTGCCTCAGCCTCCTGAATAGCTGGGATTACAGGCATGCACTACCATGCCCAGCTAATTTTTTATTTTTAGTAAAGACGAGGTTTTACCACGTTGGTCAGGCTGGTCTTAAACTCCTGAGCTCAGGTGATCCGCCAGCCTTGGCCCCTCCAAGTGCTGGGATTACAGGCATGAGCCACCTTGCCCGGCCCAATTTTGAATAATTTTTAACAATTTAATTGTATTGCCATGATTATGTATGTATGTGTGTATGTATGTATGCATGCATGTATTTATTTATTTATTTTTGAGACAGAGTTTCACTCTTATTACCCAGGCTGAAGCACAATGGTGCGATCTTGGCTCACCGCAACATCCGCCTCCTGGGTTCAGGCAATTCTCCTGCCTCAGCTCCTGAGTAGCTGGGATTACAGGCACGTGCCACCATGCCCAGCTAATTTTTTGTATTTTTAGTAGAGACAGCGTTTCACCATGTTGACCAGGATGGTCTCGATCTCTTGACCTCGTGATCCACCCACCTCAGCCTCCCAAAGTGCTGGGATTACAGGCTTGAGCCACCGCGCCGGGCTGATGATTATGTATATATAAATACTTATATAAAAGTGGTAATTAGTATATGTAATTTGATACATCACAGTTTATAGCATTAAAAATTAATTTAAAAAGCAGACACAATTTATCTTAGATACCAATAGTCTTTAAAATTCTAATATAACTTTTAAGTGAAACATTTTTAGTCATTTGTAGTCTTGCATTGAACTAAGAAAGCTTTATATACTCGATATAAAAACATAGATATATGTAACATTACATAAATAGACTATCTGTGATATTAAAATTTCACAAGGGAATGTATAGGAGAAAATTTCTGAAAAGGCTACCTATATAGGTAATAAAACTTTAAAGAAAAGGAGAGAAATTACTAATATACATTCAGGATAGTTCTTGATAACACTTCGTAGGTGCTGGGTGCTTCCAGAGTGTTGACTATGGTTGGTTTCTTCACCTGCGTGGGCCACTCAGGTGTAGTTTATATGTTCATATTTTATTAATTTTTCTGTGATTATTAAATATATTTCACATTGAAAAAGTTAAAGTAACATAGATACTAGTTTGAAATATAGAAATGCAGATGGTTTAGATTTTATATACTTATGATTGTGAATTAAATCTCTAACTTAGTAAGTTTCTTAATTAAAATAATAGATGTTGACTGATGAAAATGAACAAAAACAGAAATGCCAGTTTTGATTTTTGTTCAGATGGGCCCAGTTCTTCATCCATCCACTAATGATCAGAGATGCTATTGACCGTGAAGTTGAAGCTGTTGATAGTGGTAAGAGGAGTGTTTTATGTGTAACTACAGTTTTTTCCTTCATGAAACCCAGTTTTTTATTACATTTATCCTTCTTTATCTCTAGACCATTTTATCTTTATATTTTAAAGGACTAAATTGAAATATGTATCATGTTTATTCCTGAAGTCATGAAACATCTAATTCAGTGTACATTTGAAGTAAATGAAAAGGATGGTGGTGGATATTTTTCATCTTTTGTTTTTTGAAGGTTTACCATAGGGGCTAATCTTTTGAGATTCAAAGATTGAAGACTATAAAGGAAAACAATGTACTTATATAGGGAGGGTGAGGCTTCATTATAGCTCTATGCAATAAATATTCCTTAATTACATAGTATTAATAAATATCACTATTAGCTATTATCCCTGCTTAATTTATTTCAGTATTAGAAACACTTAATGCTAGACTTGGAGGGACTTCAATTTCATATAGGTGAGGCTTGTCTTATGGCGACTGTAGGTTTCTGTATTCCGCTTTTTGTAGTATTTTCCTCCTTGGTTCGATTTGGTGTCTAGTTCTATAATGACTTAAAACATTCACTAGACTGAGTAAACTACAGATGGCTAGAAAGAGTGTTCTATCTGGAAGTCAACAGACCGCTGTTTAACTTGCAGAAATGTCTCCAACTGTGGTATTTCGTTTATTTGTAAAAGAGGATGGAATAGTTAAGCTCCTTCCAGCTGTAGTAGCTCCTTGAAATCAAGGATTTATTTTATTATTTTACTTGCCTACCACAGTGTCTGTTTTACCTTAATCCTGAAGATCTGTAGAATGGATGAAAAAACAAAACAACTAAGGATAACTGTAAAAGCACTTTCCATATTTTGAGACTCAAGAACTGTTATCTGTGTCTTAAATGCTTTCTAGTATGTTTTTCTTTATACAGTTTTCTATAGTGGGTTGACATCAGTGTTTGAAAAAGCAGACCTTTAATTAGATTTTACAGTTTTAAGCCACAGTATATTATGCTTTGAAAAATTATGCTGGAAGAAATACACACACACACACACACACACACACACACTATGCAGTTTTGGTTTATGCTGAACTAAAGTAAAAATTCCATTGTGCTTTTGTTCATTTCTTTCTTTTTTTCTTTTTTTTTTTTTAATGGTAGGAGACCTAGAATTCAATCTGAACTAACAGTTGTAACAGATGAAATAAATTTTCCTTTTCCTTTTTTTTGTCTCCACCTGCTTACAGAAGAGTTTTTTTTTTTTTTTGAGATGGAGTCTTGCTCTGTTGCCCAGGCTGGAGTGCAGTCGCCTCAGTTCACTGCAAACTCTGCCTCCCGGATTCAAGCAATTCTCCTGCTCAGCCTCCTGAATAGCTGGGATTACCGGCATGCACCACCATGGCTGGTTAATTTTTTTATTTTTAGAAGAGATGGGGTTTCACCATGTTGGTCAGGCTAGTCTTGAACTCCTGACTTTGTGATCCACCCATCTTGGCCTCTCAGAGCTGGGATTACAGGCATGAGCCACTACACCCGGCTGGAAGTGATTCTTTCTATCCTGGCTTTTAAGTTTGTTAACTAGTGGTAACTTTATTACTAGGTCATTGTATAAATGTATGTGTACACATACATTTATAAACATTTATTTGCACAATGCAGGTAGATTTGTTTAGTATTTTATAATTTCCTTGAATACATTTATTTTTTTTTTATTTTTTTGAGACAGAGTCTCACTCTGTCGCTCAGGCTGGAGTGCAGTGGCTCAATCTTGGCTCACTGCAACTCCTACTTTTTGGGTTCAAGCCTTCTGAGTAGCTGGGACTGCAGGTAGACACCACCACGTCCAGCTAATTTTTGTAATTTTAGTAGAGACGGGTTTCCCCATGTTGGCCAGGATGATCTTGATCTCTGACCTCATGATCCACCTACCTTGTCTCCCAAAGTGCTGGGATTACAGGTGTGAGCCACCTCACCTGACCTCTTTATTTGTAATGTTTGTTTCCTTGCCAAATTTGGTCTCTAAGTGTTCAGATATTTATACTCTGTTCTCATCAGTTGTTAAGGGGTCTTAAATTACTTCTCATGGATACGTTTGTGTGTCTGCTATGTTAGTTTCCTGTTATTGCTGGGCAAACTGCTAGAAACATAGTGGCTTAAAATAAAATATATTTTCTTAAAGTTTTGGAGGAATGGAATTAGGTACATTAGGTAACTTCCTCAAGGTTATTCAGCTTAGTAAGTGTCAGAACTACAATTCTAGCACGTTTAGTCCATTTGGTTTGCGAGAACAGAATGCCACAGACTGGGTGGCTTATAAACAATAGAGTTGTTTCTTGAGGCTTTTTTGAGGCTGAGAAGTCCAAGATCAAGGAACTGGCAGATTTGGTGTCTGGTGACAACCTGCTCTCTGGTTTATAGACAACTGTCTTCACTCTTTATCTTCATATGGCAGAAGGGGCAAGGGAGCACTCTGAGGTCTCTTTTATAAGGTGAATCTCATTCAGGAGGGCTCTGTCCTATTACCTAAACATTTCTCTTGGCCCCTTCCTCCAGATACCATCACATTGGGAATTAAGTTTCAACATAGAAATTTTGGGTGGGAGGGACACAAACATTTAGCAGTAGCCAAGATATTTCTGACTTGAAAGTGATTGTTCTTAGCCGTTATACTTGGCATATGACCAAGTTTCCAGATACAAGGTTCAATATTTTATTAGCGCTTTCATCAGCAAAATCTTGTACATAGCATCCTAGAGCTGAAACTTTCAGATCATTAGCTACCTTGTGTTTTATCTGAAAAATAAGGGTAAAACTTTAGTAAGGTAAATTGATTTGCCCAAAGTTATAGGTCATATCAAGTCATAGAGCCAGGCCTGGATCATTGAGCTTCCCACTTCAGTCTTGTAACATGTGATTCATGAAGTTAATTTTTGTCACTTCCTTGCTTTTTGTTCTGTAAGTTTAAATTTTCATATAGTAAGGAGATACTGAATTTTATTAAGTGTTTCTTTAAAATTGACAGAATATCAACTTGCAAGGCCTTCTGATGCAAACAGAAAGGAAATGTTGTTTGGAAGCCTTGCTCGACCTGGACATCCTATGGGGAAATTTTTTTGGGGTAAGATACTAAATACATCACTTTATTTCATATTTTCTAGTTAAGATTTAGAATAAGGAAAGTTGATAAAGCATTGAAAATTACAAAGCTAGGGCCCCAAGGTACCTTTTACCTCTTAGGATAGCTAGATAGCCTTTCAAATATGAAATTGTTAAATATGCCTGTATTTGGTTTTCTAACTATGAATATAAGAAGAATAATACCTAACATTTTGTGAATGCTTTTTAGATGCCAGATATCATGGTAGCACTATGTGAATTGTTTCATTAGATCATTATCACAGTTTTCAGAGATAATTTCAACTTAAAGATTAACAGGTTTAGGTCAGGCGTGGTGGTTCACACCTGTAATCCCAACGCTTTGGGAGGCTGAGGTGAGAGAATCAGTTGATCCTGGTTCAAAACCAGCCTTGGCAATATAGTGAGACCCCCCATCTCTATTTTAAATTTCTGTCAAGTTACCTAATTTGTTTAAATTATACACATAGTAATGGTGGATGTGGGATTTGAACATCTGTTTATCTGATTTTTATAAAGTCTGGGCTTCACCTCAGCCTGACATTTCCATTTGTCAACAGAGTTAGCGATGGTTTCTGTAAGAGTTTTTGAACTGTGACTTAATTTTTTTTTGTTCATCTGGTAAACTGTTTAATTGGTATCTGTTTTTCATAATGGCATTTTCTTTCTTTCTTTTTTTTTTAAAGACGGGGTTTCACCATGTTGGTCAGGCTGATCTTGAACTCCCGACCTCAGTGATCCACCAGCCTTGGCCTCCAAAGTGCTTGGATTACAGGCGTGAGCCACCACGCCCGGCCCATAATGGCATTTTCTTAGTGGTAGGATTTAGTTACATCCTCATATTAGTCCTATTGATGATAAATAAATAATAATTTAGATCATCTCATCCTAAATTTTACTCTATTTATTTATTTATTTATTGAGACGCAGTCTCACTCTGTCGCCTAGGCTGGAGTGCAGTGGCGCAATCCCGGCCCACCCAAACCTCTGCCACCCTAGTTCAAGCGATTCTCCTGCCTCAGCCTCCCAAGTAGATGGAATTACAGGTGCCCACCACTTCGCCTGGCTAATTTTTGTATTTTTAGTAGAGACAGGCTTTCACTATGTTGGCTGGGTGGGTCTCAGACTCCCGACCTCATAATCCACCCGCCTTGGCTTCCCAAAGTTTGCCTGCCCTATCTAAATTATTCTTCAAAGTGTGTTTTGTTTTCCTATATATTTTTGTATAGTTATATACATTTCATGTGACATTCTTGCTTCTTGTGTTTTATTTTTAAGAATTAGACAAAAATATTATTAAAATAATTAAAAGGGAAAACTTGGATTGAATACTGCTAGACTAATTATTAAGCAAGGAGGCCTAGGGAGTTTCTGTCTGTTTTTTAAAGGTTTTCCCAACCAGAGATTAATTCTTTAGCTATTAAAATATACTTCAGAATTGTTTATTACTCATTTTTGTCTTACTAATATTAATACATTATTACATACTGGCTCAATATTCTTGAGTCACTTGGGTTATTTCATTAATCATGTATGGTAGCAAAATATGCATTGATGGTGTAGAAGACTTTTAACCAAGTGAACTTAGTTATAACTATGATTTTTTTTCATGCTTTTATAGGAAATGCTGAGACACTCAAGCATGAGCCAAAAAAGAATAATATTGATACACATTCTAGATTGAAAGAATTCTGGACACGTTACTACTCTGCTCATTACATGACTTTAGTGGTTCAATCCAAAGGTAACATTATTTCTTATGGTTCCTAGCGTTACTTTGAAGTAGTGTTTTCTTAGGATTTGTTTGCCTGTATCAGTGTTGGAATGTACTATTTATTAATTACGTTAGTGCTTGACCTTAATACAAAGTAAAGGAAATCAGAACTTCTTGATGTCATGTAGCTAGTGGCAAAGCTCAGGGAAAGACAAGATGATCAGATTCTCAGGCAAATTTTTTTCTCATATAAAGGTCTTATCTGTAGGCTGGTTTATGAATGTACCAATAACTAATAGGTCATGAATTGATCTCTTAAGCCACTTCACTTGCCCTTGTATCTGTGGTTTTCCATTTACTCTATATTGATTACAAACTCTTACAGGGCAAATGATTTGTTCATACTTACATAAAGTCCTATAAAAATGGCATGATTAGTTGAGATTGATCATGGTGACAATGGCAGAAGTATCTTAAATATAAAGACTGATGAATCTCTTTATTTTCCTTCTTTTATCGTTGTCTTCAGTAACTTATATTAACTTTTTCTCATTAAGGAAAACATGGAAGCTTTCTTTTGTTTTCTTTACATTTCAACCTACTTGTTTTTTAAGTCAATAATTGCTAAATTATTCCTTTTAACATAACTTATAATTTGCACATTTCTTTTTGAAAGTCGAATCCTCTCACGCTAAGGTGATTCTTCTTTTATAAAGTTTTGCTTTTTATATTGTTGAAATTAAGATCAAATCTGACTTGGCACTGACGTGTAAAACATTTTTTCATTTATTATCAATACGAGTTCATTAAAGTTGACTTGAAAGTATAAAGTTATGTCTGACTTGGCACTGACGTGTAAAACATTTTTTCATTTATTATCAATACAAGTTCATTAAAGTTGACTTGAAAGTATAAAGTTATGTGGTATCTACCATAACTTTATACTTTCAAGTCAACTTCTTTTGTTCAAGTTACTTCTAGGTTTCTTTTACATTTGCTAAATTAGTTAATTCCATATTTGGTATACAAATTAATTCATAATTTTTAATTGATTATTGTGTTTGCAAATAATTCCATGCATTTTTCTTGAAGTAGTTACTCTGTTTCTTTTGTATTCTCTTCCTCTGTGATGACAAATATAAGAGCTTATTGATGCTTATTTCAAATTTTTAAAACAAGTCCTACAGTTTTTTTTGTTTTTTGTTTTTTTAACAAGACAGGGTCTTGCTCTGTCATTCAGAATATAGCGTAGTAGCACAATCATAGGTCACTGTAGCCGCAAATGCCTGGGCTCAGATGATCGTCCTGCCTCTTCCTCCCAGATAGCTGGGATTACAGGCCCCAGCCACTGTGCCTAGCCTAGAGTTTTGATGAAAACTATATATGGTGTAGACTTCATAGATTTTAGAGTGTTAGTATTAATTATACCATTAATAGTCTAACATCTATATAAGTAGTATAATATAAACCTAGAAGTTGATTAGTCTAAATCCCATGTTTTATATAGTGGGGTTCTCCATTAAGAATTAGTGAAATTCATGTGCCTGGTAGAACTAACAAATGGCTCCCTAGTGATGGTCACTCAGATAAAGCAAAAGGTTTCCTTTTTCAGATCTCGTTTTTTACTAGAAATTTCAAAAAGGACTTCTTATTAAATATAAGAAATGAATCAAAGGAAAACATAGATCATATATATGTATGATTTATATATACATATATATATAGCCTAAAAGACTTATGAGTGTAAATTAATGTAAAACAAGTGGAATATAAAATTATTGATGAGATGCCAAAAAGGAAAGGTTAATGTAATATGGGTTAGCATAGAGAAACCTTCCAACAGTGTGTACATTTTGGAATGGGTGTAGGATGGTTGGCATAATCTTATTATCTCTTAGTCCTTCACAGTAGCCTAATGATAAAGATACATTTTTTGTTAAGCTTGTCTGCCTTTTCTAACCTTACCAGGGAAAAATAATAAAGGAGTCTCAAAGTTATCTGTGTCTTAAGGTTTTCTTTTCTACTGTTATTTTTCCTGTTATTCATTACTGGTTAAAGAATGGCAAGTAATGGCCAAATTAAAATATCCCTTTGATTTTATCTGAAACTGTGAGAAATCTAATTGCATTTCTCCCTTGAATAATATCATTGCATTTTTCTGTCTCTTCCCTGTCCTCCCCTCTCAAGAAACACTGGATACTTTGGAAAAGTGGGTGACTGAAATATTTTCTGAGATACCAAACAAGTAAGATATTTCTTTTTCATATATCGTACACCTTCAGAGTTAAAGAGACCATTATTACAGCTTCAGAGTTAAAAGAGACCTTATCTTGTATGAGTCCCAAAGGTTTTTTTGCTTTTTTATTTTTACACAGGTGATAGAATTAAACCCTAACGAAACTTAATGATTGTCAAGATCACACAGCTTTTGAGTGGGTAAACTAAGATGACAATTATAGTGGATTCTAATGTATATGGAAACCAAGTTTCCATAGTTCAAAATTTACAGGTTATAGTAAGCAATAATTCTGAAAATTTTATGCCTCCTTTTACATTTATTTTGAGCTTTTCTGTGATACAAAAGAAAGTACTATGTGAGAGGCAGAAGAATATGCACACTTAAATCCCCCACATTGGGATAAATTGTGTTCTGAAAGTTTGTTTTTTTAAAGCAGTTGTTTGGATATTGCACTGGTTTTCCCTACTGCCTGAAAAACTTATTTCATGTAGTCAAACCAGATGCTCTTCTACAGATACGTATGTAGCGCTTCAGATGATATAAGAATTTTTTCTCCACCTCAAATTCATCAAAATAATACAGATATTTAAAAGATACTTTTCTGCTACATTTTTGTTACAAAGTTTATAAAAAAATTTAATTCTGAAGCAGTGAAATCATTTTTCCCACATGTAGTAGTTTGCATTTTAACAAAATTAATAAAATAAGATATTTTTTCTTGTATCAGATGAGTAATCTAGTGGATTTTCCCAGTTATTCTTCTAACACATAATTATTTTAAAGTTTTGAAAGAAACTAGCATAAAATATTAGAATAATTTATAATGGCAACTGATTATTATAGATTTTGCTTTATATAAATTTCTATTGATAACTAGCCATGCTTTTTAGTATGTAATGGTCATCAAAACCGTGACAAATTTGTGGGGCTTTTTTTTTTTCTGATTAGAAGTCTGGAGTGTGAACTATGGAAATATCAAATGTGAAACTTTAATAAAATTAGAGGTATGTTTAATAGAGAAATTCATTAGGTTCTGTCAATCTGATAAGCATTAAAAAAATCTTATGTATTATTCACTAATAACTTTGGTTCCTTAATTAGACAGGCTAAAAATTCTTCGAGGCATTTAATACTAATTTGCATTGACTATGCTTTGGAAGAAATATGAAAGTTACAATATCTTCAACCAGATTAGAAGCCCCCAGGAGGGACCAAAGGATCTTTTAAATACCATAGTGCCTAATAGACTGCTTTATACCTAATATTCACTTCATGTATAATCACTGATTTTAAGAAAATACTGTCTCTAGTGTAAGTTTCTTTCTGAAATGGCTCTGTATAGGAAAAGAACTGATTGAATGGGGCTGACAGAGGCAGTAAATATTGGGGTGAGAGAAGATCCTTTAAATTCATTATTCTCTATCTCTTGAGTTCTAGAGACTTTTGAGTTCCTGGGCTGAGATTAAGAACAGATTGTGTAATGCAAGATTTTGCAGCTTTATTGCCATCTGTTTGTTCATACCTAAAATGCTTTCCAAAAAGGAGTATGTAGAATAGATTTTAAATATCTTTCAGTTAGATATCCCTAAAGATATTGCTCATAAAGGCTTTTGCCAATTAAATTTGTATGTATTTGTTTTATTTTCAGTGGGTTACCCAAACCAAACTTTGGCCATTTAACGGATCCATTTGACACACCAGCATTTAACAAACTTTATAGAGGTTCGTGAACCAAAGGTTTAAAACGGTTTGAAATAATGTTAGCACATTCTCTATAACCTAATTGAGGATGCCAATTTTTTTTACGGCAGAAAATACAGCTGGGTTGGAAAGGGAGTAGGTGGGCAATCGAGATCTAATTAGTAATAGATAGCAGACCATTGACTAGCTGCAGATAGATAGATTCTGGTGCCCTGCTGCTACTTCAGTCTATTTCATGCTTTCTCCTTGCTTTACCTTTGTTCCCTTTTGTTCTCTGTGTTGTTAAATTTCATTTATGCTTCATTTTATTTATATTCTGCTCTTTTTTTGCATTTAAATGAGGAAAAATAGAGGACAGGGAAAACAGTTTGGAAATTGTTTCCTTTTAAATTCATTGTGAAAGCAACATTTGCTAAATAAAAATATAAAGTGTCAAGAAATGGGAGAAAAAATCACCTTTAAATCTTACTCTCAAGGGAAGTCATTTCTGTCAGATTTCTTTTTTTTTTTTTTTTTTTTTTAATTTGGAGACAGATTCTCGCTCTGTTGCCCAGACTGGAGTGCAATGGCATGATCTCAGCTCACTGCAACCTCCGACTCCCAGGTTCAAGCGATTCTCCTGCCTCAGCCTCCCAAGTGGCTGGGATTACAGGCACTCACCACCACACCTAGCTAATTTTTGTATTTTTAGTAGCGATAGCATTTTGCCATGTTGGCCAGGCTGCTGGTCTCAAACTCCTGGCCTCAAGTGATCAGTCTGCCTTGGCCTCCCCCAGTGCTGCATTTACAGGCGTGAGCTACCATGCCTGGCCTTCAGATTTCCTTCCGATTTTCTAATAGGTATATTTTCTTAACAAAGTTGAGATTATAAAGTACCTAAATAATTCTGTCTCCTGCTTTGTTTCATGTAATAGTATACCTGCAATAACTGCATAATGAGTCGTGTGATTACATTATAATTTACTGAACAATTTGCCCACAGTGAATATTGGAGAAACATTCTTTTATTTTTATTTTATTATTATTATTTTTTAAAAGACAGGGTTTCACAGTAATAGCCAGGCTGGTCTTGATATCCTGACCTTGTGATCCACCTGCCTTAGCCTCCCAAAGTGCTGGGATTACAGGTGTGAGCTACCACGCCTGGCTTAGAGAAACATTCTTAATTCAGCATCTCTCTCTCTTTATTCTTTTCATCATGGCAGATATTTTTTTTCTTTTTCCTAATTGTGTTAGGTATTCCCTCTTTCTTCACCCCATTACCAGTCTCTTTTCTTTTCCCCTCCTCTGATCAATGACTGTTTTGTTACAGCCTTTCTGCTGCTGGTTCCATTCTGTTAATATTAAGCTAACTCTTCCCAGAGACAACTTATTTTTGATTGTATTCTTTCTGGCTTTAGATTTTCTAATCATAGAATAATAGCATTGGGAAGAATCCTGGAGATACTTTAACCCAACTCACTCATTTTACTGTGAGAAACAGATTCAGAAAAATTTAAATGCAAGTAATTTTCTTGAGGTCATATAAGCACATACAGCAAGATAGTGGTAGGACTGGATTTCAGATATGGGTCTCCTGACTCCTAGAAGAGATCCATTCACAGCAGCATTTCATATCCTCATAGTTCTTTTATCCCTGCTTTCTCTGCCTCTGAAAACAAATCAAAAAGAAATTTATAAAAATTGCACTATTCAAATTGGAAAATTGGCAAGTTGAAATAATAAGTGCATTGTTCTTAACCTTCCCTTGTTTACTGGAGGACAAATATATAGAATTTTAAAAATTCTTGTAATATAGTAAAAGTTAAAGAGAAACACTTATATCTGTTCTTCTGGAAAATGTTTTTGTTTAGTTGTTCCAATCAGAAAAATTCATGCTCTGACCATCACATGGGCACTTCCTCCTCAGCAGCAACATTACAGGTAAGAGTTTAAGGGAAATTTTACTTCATTAGAACTGAGTGAGAATTATTTTTAAATGGTTTAAGTTTGGGGGTTCTGAATTTATAAACATAGCAATATGGTAACCTGGAACTTGATTACTCCAGGAACTTTTAAGCCTTGCTATGTATTTTACTATTTTTTTGATATAAAAACTAGAGCCTTCTTGGTTATAGTTGCCTTTCTTAAGTCTTTGAAATTAAGTGTTTAGTGTGAATGCTAACTTTTGTAATTTGTTTTGATCTTGTCAAAAGTAAAGTTAAATAATTTGGGCCTGCCAGACTGGCCAACATGGTGAAACCCCGTCTCGACTAAAAATATCAAAAACCTAGCCAGGCCTGGTGACATACACCTATAATCCCAGCTCCTTGGGTGGCTGAGGCATGAGAATTGTTTGAACCTGGGAGGTGGAGGTTGCAGTGAGCTGATAGCATGCTACTGCACTCCAGCCTGGGCAACAAAGCAAGGTCTCAAAATAAAAAAAATAATAATAATTTAGACTGGTAATATGACTAAAGTACATAAATCCCAAGGATTTACTCCTCTGAATTAAGCAGGTTTATGCAAATTAGGGAAGGATTTCTACTTGTCTATATAGTTATCTTATATGAGCAGTATAGCATGGGCCAGACAGTTCTTTAAGATAAGGATCAGTTGATGCCTACAAATGTTTTTCTAATTAGAAATAAACGCTAATGAACTGATAAAAATTTAACTTTGGAGGGGGCAGGGCTCAAGCAATCTGCCCACCTTGGCCTCCGACCTTGCTGGGATTACAGGCTTGAGCCACTGTGCCCAGCCAAATAAATATTTTAAACAAGGTTATATGGGCTTTAAGGACTGCCCATAGTTGAAAATCATATCTTGACTTTCAGCTGTTTACTGAATTTAATTGTGCAACCTAATTAAATAAAATATAAAATATATATAGAAATATGTGGTAAACTCAATTTTTTTCTACATGTCTTTGTGGTAGGAATACTTTTCCAAAATTACAGTAGAACCCAGTGGGAAAGACAATTTGAACAGAGTATGCACGTTTAGTCAGACTGTCATTAGTATGTAATAAAGCATTTTTATACTTGTTATTGCATTTTCATGAAAACGCTAAGTAGTTGGGCAAGTGAAGAGTAAAAGAAGAATACAGTTAAGTATCTTGCTCAAGTTCCTGATTTACTTAAAGGAAAATCTAAAACTAGAACCAAGATTTTCTGACCCTTTGAACAACACATTTTACTTTACCACAGAGCCCAGTGTAGTACCAAAAGCTTTTACAGACAGTTATTCATATCTATATTAGGTTCTAAACCGATAAGGAACCTACTTTTCATTTTGGGTGAAGCAAAAAGATAAATCATGAAAGCAGTTAAGTTTGGTGTCCAAGAGAAAAAGTAATGTCCTTAAATTTTGGGATGATTATAGTCCTTCTCAGATAAAAGAGTTAATTTTACTACATTTTCTGTTTTTATCTTGCTGCTATTAAATTAATTACAATTTCATGTTTGGTGGACATATGTGAGAATAAGTTTGTAATTATATTTTCAAATTATTGTAGCCTTAAAGGTTAGATTTTCTTTTGTATTTACACCTTTTTTTTTTTTCTGATCATAAAACTTTTTTAAAAGGGTGAAGCCACTTCATTACATATCATGGCTGGTTGGACATGAAGGCAAAGGCAGCATTCTTTCTTTCCTTAGGAAAAAGCAAGTATTCAGTTTATAAGTATTTTCAGTATAGCAATCTCTGAAAAATAATAGATAATAAGTATTATATAATGCATTCTTCTGCTTTAGCTGCCCAGAAGCCTAGAATAATAAATTTTATATTATAGTCATCTTAATAACTATCTTAATTATAGTCATCTTAATAACTTATGTTATTTTAATGGCCATGTTATATTTGTGTATTTCCTTGTAAGCTAACTTTTAGCCCATTATTGGAAGTATTTGTATGCAAAATTTTAAAAAATCATAAATGAAATTAATAGATTCCAGAATTACATAAAAGAATTAGCTCTAATCAAGGATTCATATTTGACTGAATGGTAAAGAAGTCAGTTATTTAAATATTATGGATCTCCAGGCTTTCCCAATCCAAAAGCTGGACTTTAATGAAAACTTCATTGGGTAGGTAAATTATAATTAACATGTGGGTCTGCAAATGGTATATGCAGCTCTGTTAGCAGAATGTTTCCTAAGCATTAAAGGATCTGTTTAAGTCACCTATAGCCAAATCATAGAAATATAATTTTAGAATCAGGACTAATACATTAAAGTAATTCTTTGTTTGATTTTTCTATAAATGAAATAGTGTGAGAATGGAAGATAGATGAGAAATTTAAGTATTTTTAAGACACTTGTGTATACTAGAACATTCAAAGAAAACTAAGAGGGCAGAGTTACTATAAAACAATAAACTAATGATATTGGGTTCATATATACCTTACACAATATATGTTATATGCTTTGAGTTGTGCACAACCTTTCTACCTTATTGAGCTTTATTGGAATTTCAGACTCTATTCTGGTGTCCTCTCTTTTTAATTTTTCAGAATTAATCTAGTTAGGGAAAGGTATAGTCTCATTGCTTCTTTCCTAGACAGCCTACGTAGGTTAGCTGACAGCCTTAAAGAACTCACTTGACATTTGGTGTAGGTATGTATTAGAAGTGTCTTAAGGCTTCTCCTAGGAGACAGGTTCAAAAATGGAGAGGCCGGGCATGGTGGCTCACACCTGTAATTCCAGCACTTGGAAGTCCAAGGCAGAGGATTGCTTGAGCCCAGGAGTTTGAGACCAGCCTGGGCAACATAGTAAGACCCTGTCTCTATTTAAAAAAAATAAATAAGCGAAATGCCTTCCAGCAGCCATAATTTTAATATTTTGTGCTGTTATCTTCAAAAGGAATGGTTTTGGCTTAAAACTGTTAATGTTTTACTATAAAAGACTGTTATTTTCTTCTGGTGATTCTGTGCTTTTAAAATTTGTACTTTTAGATTTACTATTGGAAAGCATATGTTTACATCAAAGGCTGAGGTTCTCAAATTTTACATAGAAAGCCTCTATATTTTGTTAATTTGACATGTCTGTAGACTGTCAATCCAGGAACATTGATTGGGTTAATTTTTTCCCCACCTGTAGGTGCTGGGCTCTTGCACTGTTTGGTGGAAATGGTGAGACGGGATTTGAGCAAAATTCCACTTATTCAGTGTTCAGCATTTCTATTACATTGACTGATGAGGGTTATGAACATTTTTATGAGGTAAATAATTCAAATTGAGTTGTTTTTTCCTTTTATGTAGATAATGTTTTATGGAAAAGACTAATCGGATGTTTTGTTTTCAGGTTGCTTACACTGTCTTTCAGTATTTGAAAATGCTGCAGAAACTAGGCCCAGAGAAAAGGTAATAAACATTTCTTGAAATGAGGCCAGGAGCCAGTCCTAGTATATTTGAGGCTTCAGGGTGCCAGTAGTCATGACTTGATGGTTTTTCAGGCATTTTCTGCTCTGTTTCCTTTAGTGGCTCCATATCCTTATCCTTCCACATGTGAGTGTACACTAAGGCTTTACACATATGTGGCTAGTCCCTTTATTTTCATGCTTCTCTTTTATTGTTGATGCTTCTAGTGAGAATTTTTTTTTTTTTGAGACGGAGTTTCGCTCTTGTTACCCAGGCTGGAGTGCAATGGCGTGATCTCGGCTCACCACAACCTCTGCCTCCTGAGTTCAGACAATTCTCCTGCCTCAGCCTCCTGAGTAGCTGGGATTACAGGCACGCGCCACGATGCCCAGCTAATTTTTTGTATTTTTAGTAGAGACGGGGTTTCACCATGTTAACCAGGATGGTCTTGATCTCTTGACCTCGTGATCCACCCGCCTCGGCCTCCCAAAGTGCTGGGACCACAGGCTTGAGCCACCGGAGAATTTTTTTTTTTTTAGCTTTTATTCTAGGTTCAGGGGTATATGTGCAGGTGTGTTATATAGGTAAACTTGTGTCACAGTAGTTTGTCGTACAGATTATTTTGTTTCCCAGGTACTAAGCCTACTATCCAATAGGTATCTTTTCTGATCTTCTCCCTCCTCCTGCCCTTTTCCCTCGAGTAGGTGGAAATTTTAACGTATCTTCTAATTATAGTTTTCCCCTTCACAGAATTTTTGAAGAGATTCGGAAAATTGAGGATAATGAATTTCATTACCAAGAACAGGTACTGGAAGTCAAATTCTTTTTGCATTTTATTTTCTTAGAATTGTTTTTTTTTTGGAGATAGGGTCTCTGTTACCCATACTGGAGTATAGTGGCATGATCTCAGCTCACTGCAGCCTGTGACTAAGTTGAAACTAGTGTGGACATTGCTCCTCTTTTTGAAAGTGTCGGTGGAGTTTTAATTCTGCCATTCTCTGTCATGTGAGTCTCCAGATAGCCTTGAAGCTATCTGAAAATTATTGTGTTTTTGAGTATTTATATTGAGTAAGATAAGGCAGTGAGAGGATTAAGCAGATGACACAGATCATGTTGTGTGGTAATCATTTATCTATATAGTCATCCATCTATCTTTTCAATAAACATTCATGGAGACTTATGATATTTAATATTTTAGAAATTCAAATATTGTGAAGACATTCACAGTATTTGAATTTATATTTACCACATATAATGTTAGAAACATTGTGCTTTCGAATTTAGGGGAAGGAGGGCATTTCTCTTGATTAAAATAGGCTCAGAGGCTGGGCGATGTGGCTCATGCTTGTAATCCAAGCATTTGGGAGGTCGAGCAGGTATGTTGCTTGAGCCCGTAGTCTAGTAAAGGACTGGGCAGTGTGGTGTTTTGGGAAGCGTATGTGGATGTTATGAGGTGAGAGTTCTGATGTCTACTCTGCTTGTTGTTTACTCATTGCGTCACCTTAGGCAAGCCATCTAGCCATCTAGTTAGGAAAAATCTGAATATGTTTCCTCATTGTAAAACATGGAACTGGAACCACTTGGTATCTGAAAGACCTGTCAGTTTTAAGAGTCTGTGTATGTGGGTGCTCAGTAAATATGTGAATTGATTGCATTCCTTTGGAAAAAATATTTCCATTTCTTGTATCAGTGAACTGGTGGTCATTCTTTCAGTTTTAAGTTGAAATAATATTTTTATTAATATGACTTCTTATCTCAAGACTTTTATTTGACACTCACATTTTAATTTTTTAAAATTTTAATTAGAGAAGGGGTCTTGCTATGTTGCCCAGGCATGTCTTGAACCAGGCTCAAGCCATCCTCCTGCATTGGCCTCCCAAAGTGCTAGGAGCACAGGCATAAGCCATCATGCCCAGTCAACACATTTTGATTTTTTTTTTTTTTTTTTTTGAGATGGAGTCTTGCTCTGTCATGCAGGCAGGAGTGTGGTGGCAAGATCTCAGCTCACTGCAACCTCCACCTCCGAGGTTCAAGCGATTTTTGCCTCAGCCTCCCAAATAGCTGGGATTATAGGCATGAGCCACTGTGCCTAGCCCAATACATTTTGATTTCTACATTGATTTGATTCATGCTTACAAATAGTTTTTAGTTGATAGTCTGTAGTGATGGGTCACCTGTCTTTATTGTTCACACAGTCATGTGGGGCACTTGACAGGTAAACAAGCATTCATAGTTCAGTGTGGTAATTGCTTTCATGAAGAGGCTGTGATATGATTAGAACCTAGTGGGTTGTAGGGTTCAGAATGGTGGCATGAGGGGTGTGAGTTTAAGCTCCCTAAGGGAGTAGCTATGGCTTTATTTTCTTAGAATTTTTTTTTTTTTTTTTTGAGATAGGATCTCTCTTTGTTGCCCATACTGGAGTATAGTGGCATGATCTCAGCTCACTGCAGCCTCAACCTTCTGGGCTCAAGCAATCCTCCCACCTCAGCTCCTCAAGTAGCTGGCACTACAGGCATGCACTGCCATGCCCGACTTATTTTTGCATTTTTGGTAGACATAGGGTTTTGCCATTTTGCCCAGACTGGTCTCAAGTAATCTAACCACCTTGGCTTCCTAAATGTTAGGACAGGTGTGAGCCACTGTGCTTGGCCTACTGAGCATCAGATTCTTTTTATTTTTATTTTATTTTGAGATGGGAGTTTTGCTCTTCCTGCCTAGGCTGGAGTACAGTGGTACTATCTCGGCTCACTGCAACCTCCGCCTCCTGGGTTCAAGTGATTCTCCTGCCTCAGCCTCCTGAGTAGCTGGGATCACAGGCATGCGCCGCCACGCCTGGCTAATTTTGTGCTTTCAGTAGAGATGAGGTTTCTCCATGTTGGTCAGGCTGGTCTCGAACTGCTGACCTCAGGTGATCCACCCACCTTGGCCTCCCAAAGTGCTGGGATTACAGGTGTGAGCCACTGTGCCTGGCCTGAGCATCAGTTTCTTAAGCTGCAATTACATCTGGTTGTATCTGTTCAGAAGCTTTTGGTTTCATTGTTAATAAAAAAGGGAGAAAGTATTTGCATGTTGTGGTAAAGCAAATAATGGAGAAGTTCTCGTGTGAAATAATGTACCTCTTTACAGACAGATCCAGTTGAGTATGTGGAAAACATGTGTGAGAACATGCAGCTGTACCCACTACAGGACATTCTCACTGGAGATCAGCTTCTTTTTGAATACAACCCAGAAGTAAGGAGGTTTATACTTCTAAAACTTACTTTTAGGGAAAGAGGAGGGTGAGAAAATACAGAGATGTATTTAAGAACCATGGGAACAAAGAAAACTTAGTTATATTTAGTCAGGATTTTTGTTTGTTTAAACAGAAGTATCAATAGTTTTGTGGATAATTTCTCATGGATCTTTTACACAATTAAGTTTTAATATAAGAGGAGAAAATCAATCAAAATCAGTACTTCTTAGGTACTGTTTTAATAGTTTTCAAATATTGAAACATCTACTGAAATAGTTGAAGTGATTCCTAAGAACTATCTGGTTTCCCTGTTAAAAATGCTTAGTAGTTTAGCTTACCTTTTAGTTCAGTTGGAGAGTCAGGACTATTAAATTTTTAATCATTTTGAACATATAAGAAAAATGTAAGTTTCCCTTAATGAGAAACATATGACTTATGGATAGTGTTACATGCCAATAAATTGTTGGTCAGGGTCATTTCTTCACTAGTGGAGAATAAGTCATTTTGTTTCACACAGGAATAGCAAGGGTCAACCAGAGGTGACTTTTGCCTTCCAGAGGATATTTGTCAATGTCTGGAGACATTCTGGTTGTCACAACTCAGGGTGGGGGTGGAGTACTCCTGGGATCTAGTGGGTAGAAGCCAGGGATGCTGCTAAATGTCCTGTAATGCAGAAGACAGCATTCTACAATAGCTGTCTGACCCAAGATGTTCATAGCACTAAGACTGAGAAATTTTAGCATAGGACATTACTAAACTATTAATTTTAAAGAGGACAGGGAAAGGTAAAGGAGGAAGGAACAACTACACATTCTTGCCATTGTCACTAGGATGGCTGTGCCCAGTGGCTGGTTGTGTTTTTTTTTTTTGAAACACCATTTGTTGATTTTTATATTACTGTTTAGTCCTTATCGTAGCTAGGATTGTTGAAGGAGGCCTTACCTTGGCAGTGTTTTACTGATTCCTGGATATGAAGTGGTATAAAGCATAGCTGTTAGGAACATAGTCTTTGGTAGTATGTACAAATTTAGTTAGAACTCCACTTTTGCCACTTCTGGCTGTGTTATTCTGTACAAATTATATAATCTTTAACCTGAGCAAATTACTTAAGCATCGACTTCAGGAGCTGAGTGTTATTTCCTATAAGTGAGTATGCCTTAGGATTCTTTTTAGGAATAAATGAAATAATGTATGTAAACTTCCTGGCTCACAGTAGAAGCTTAGCAGTCAAGGATAGCTATTTTTACTGTTAATATGTAGGATTTGAGATAAACACTGTTTAAAGCATTATCAAGAACATACTTGATATTTGTCAATTATATCTCAATAAAGTAGGAAAAAAGTTTTTGAAACACTGACAAGACTTTGTAAATTAGGGTGTTCATGGAGTGTAGATACTTTCATGAGCATAGATCTTGGAGGTGCCTAACAATGTAATTTTTGCCTTTTTAAACAGAGATATATTAGGTTAAAATTGTGTGTATCTCTCTCCCTTTTTCCCAATTTATTAGGTCATTGCTGAAGCCTTGAATCAGCTAGTTCCTCAAAAAGCAAATCTTGTTCTACTGTCTGGTGCTAATGAGGGAAAATGTGACCTCAAGGAGAAATGGTTTGGAACTCAGTATAGTATAGAAGGTAAAATATTTTATGAATTTTCTTACATTTAGGTATATCTGACTTGCCTGGAAATGTTTATTGTTTAATAATTTAATGGTTTTAGAGGAGGGGGAAAGTACAATTTTTTAAAATAACTCACTTTGAAATGAAAATTACTTATACTACTGCACACAAAGTTATTTTCTGCTATGTTTATATTTACTAGGTAGTGAAAAAACCCTGTTGTCTTGGTATTTGGGGGGAAGGTTTTGACTTAGTTTTAGAAAAATGCTTCTCAAATGCCACTGCATTTTTGTCACCTGGAAATCTTACTAAAATACAGATTCTGATCAGAGGGTATGAGTAGGACCTGAGATTCTGCATTTCTTTTTTTTCCTTTTTTTTGAGACAGTTTTGCTCTTGTTGCCTAGGATGGAGTACAGTGGCACAATTTTGGCTCACTGCAATTTCTGCCTCCTGAGTTCAAGCAATTCTCCTGCCTATGCCTCCTGAGTAGCTGGGATTATAGGAATATGCCACCCCGCCTGGCTAATTTTGTATTTTTATTAGAAATCCATCTGGGATTTCACCATGTTATTCAGGCTGGTCTCGAACTCCTGATCTCAGGTGATCCACCCACCTCAGCCTCCCGAAGTGTTGGGATTACAGGTGTGAGCCACTATGCCCGACCAGATTCTGCATTGCTGACAAGCTCCCAGGTGATGGCAGTGCTGCTGGGACCACACTGAGTAGTATGATTCTAGAATGCCTGGATATGTGTTAGTCACAGTTTTTCCTGAGAAAGGAGAATTGATTTGTGAAGGCCAGTTGATAACTAGTTTATTATTAAGAGAATGTTGAACATTGCATTGCTTATTGGGTCAGTTTATATTTCTTCTTTACAGATATTGAAAACTCTTGGGCTGAGCTGTGGAATAGTAATTTTGAATTAAATCCAGATCTTCATCTTCCAGCTGAAAACAAGTACATAGGTCAGTAAAACAGCAGTTTTTATACATAATCCATCCATGTGCTAATAGGCACCTGTATAGCACATTATATTTTACAAAGTATCATAGGAATTTACATTTGAGATTCCCAGTAACATTCTGAGGTGGAGATGACCATTTTCTTACTTTTCCAAATGAGAAAACTGAGGGTCAAAAAAGCAAAGTGACTGGTGCAAGACTATTCAGTTGGTGAATGAGAAACCAGGTCTTAAACACAGATCTTGGGACTCTGAAGTTGATGCTGTATCTTGTGTAGCATAGCTGGCTGATCCTTTCACACCAGTCTCCTTAGGGATTGACATTATCTTGTCAGGTTGTTCTGTTGCTTTTCTTTTTTTTTTTTTTTGAGACAGAGTCTCGCTCTATCGCTCGATTGGAGTGCAATGGCATGATCCCGGCTCACTGCAACTTCCGTTTTCCGGTTTCAAGCAATTCTCCTGCCTCAGCCTCCCGAGTAGCTGGGATTACAGGCGCGCACCACCTCGCCCGGCTAATTTTTTGTATTTTTAGTAGAGAGGGGGTTTCACCATGTTGACCAGGATGGTCTCGATTTCTTGACCTCGTGACCCACCCGCCTCGGCCTCCCAAAGTGCTGGGATTACAGGCGTGAGCCATCGCGCCCAGCCGTTCTGTTGCTTTTCAAACTGCAGGTGGCAGTCCATTAGAAGGTTGGGAAGTCAGTGTAATAGATTGTAAGGTCAATGTAATGAGCCATGAAAGCATTAAAAAAATCAATCAGAATAGAAAATAGCAAAATGTTTCATTGCATATAGAAAGAATATTATTTTAAGAACTTTTGTTTCAAATAGGTCTCTCTGCCTGTCTACTAGCTTGCATTGGAAAACATATTTCTAAGTATGAGTTGCAGAAAAAGATAATTGAAAGCTACCAATCTTAGGTCCAAGGTTTTAGAGTTGCTTATAAGTATAGTTTACTCAGAACACTGTATTTCGCAGCCATTTATTACACTTCTATGATTATACCCAAAAGGATTGAAAACAGGTACTCAAACAAATATATGGACCTTCATGTTCACACAGCACTATTGACAATACCCAAAATATGGAAACAACCCAAATGTCCATCAGTGGATGAATGGATAAACAAACTGTGGTATATACATACTTTAGAATATTACTCATAAAAAAATGTAGTACTAATACATGCTATAATGGGGAAGAACCATGCTAAGTGAAAGAAGCTAGGCACAAAAGGTTACAGATAAGTCCATATATATGAAATGTCCAGAATAGATAACATAGATAGAATATAGATTGATGATTGCTAGGGGCTGAGGTTAGTGGGTAATGAGGAGCAATCCCTTAAGGAGCAGGGGGTTTCCTTTTCGGATGATGAAAATGATTTGGAACCTGATAGAAGTGGTAGTTGCACAACATTGTGAATGTATTAATGCTTCTGAATTGTTCACTTTAAGTAAGTTTGTTATGTGATTCTCCCTTCAATTAGGGGAAAAAAAAGCCTTTAAAAAATTGTTAAATATTTTAGACATTTCAGTTTCACATCTTGAACTGTAAATAATCTAAACAACCCAGTTAGCTTATTATTTTAGTTTAGTTTAGTTTTTTGAGACAGGGATCCACTCTGTTGCCCAGGTTGGAGTACAGTGGCATGATCATGTCTCACTGCAGCCTTGACCTGCTGAGCTCAAGCAATTCTCCTGTGTCAGCCTCCTGAGTAGCTGGGATTACAGGTGTGCACTACAATGTCCCGCTTATTTTTAATTTTTTTCTAGAGATGTGGTCTTTTTCTATGTTGCCCAGGCTGGTCTCAAACTCCTAGCTTCAAGCAGCCTGGCTTCAAGTGGCCCTCCTACTTCAGCCTTCAGAAGTGTTGGGATTACTGGCATGAGCCACCGTTTGTACCAAGTCCAGCTCTTTTAAATAAATATAGCAAGTACTCAAATTTTAAAAATTAGCTATTTTTCACCTATGTGTTGATGAAACTGTTGTTTTAATTAACCAAAAGGACAAGTTTGATTTTGTTTGAGCAGAATTATTTTGTAACCTTTCAAATGTATAATACATAAGGTTAGTTAAAAGGCATTCTCATGAATTAATGGATTGTTTCATAAATTGGTTTATGAAACTATCCTAACTAAAGGTTCCTCTTTCAGTTAAAATTGTCTTTAAGAAAGGGAATGAAGCAGAATGTATAGTAGTCAGAATCAATTCTTGGGAAATTCCAGATCTTCACAGTTTATTTACTTTAAGGCCAACATCGTTTTCCTTTCAGTATTGGTCTACTAATTTAAAGTATTCCAGCATCTGAATTTGGCTTATTTTTGCCATAGAGAAAAGTTACTTAGACTCCTGAAGCCAGTAACAGATTACTGGAGCTACTGCTGAAATACTTGAGTGAATTATTATTCTTTTCTTTTATTAGCCAAAGACTTTACATTGAAGGCTTTCGATTGCCCTGAAACAGAATACCCAGTTAAAATTGTGAATACTCCACAAGGTTGCCTGTGGTATAAGAAAGACAACAAATTCAAAATCCCCAAAGGTAAAATGTTGCCCTCCTGTAACCTCTCTGCTGAATTCCAGTGTTCTCTTTAGTTGCTTTGTTTGACATGTGACTATCTACTTGCTGTTTTGGTCCTCCTTTGTGGAGGAAGCTAGTGCTGGGTGCCTCTATCAGCCATCTTGAAGCCCTCTTGTCCTCCCTAAAAGGAATAAGTAAATCAAATGTTTCTCCACTTTGTAGCAACTCATTTCCCTTGTGTATATCACCTGCTTCTCTTTCCTTTTCCCCTTCCATTTGAAGACCTTTTCTATGCTTATTCTACCAGATTTATACTGTGCTCCTGTGCTGTCACAGAAATCCTTATGGATACTCCGGTGTCCAAGAAATAAAAATTTAAGGCTAGAATGAAATTTTGTTTTTAGATTTTTTTCTTTCAGATAAATGAAAGCAGAGCCAGGTGTTTGGTCTTCTTAAGGAATTGGTGGTGTTATTTGAACATTGTTTTTTAAAAAGAGATTAGAATATACAAAGGGATTATTCATAGACATAATAGCCTAGTTCAGCATTACAAATGTGAAATCCCTACCAACTGCCTCCTACCATTTTGTTTTCAGCATAAAGGACGCATAGTATAGAGTTAAGTAGACTCTGAAGTCCTTATCTTTAATGTTGTGGCCCTAACTGTGTTGCTTTTTACTGTTCAGTTCTTGAACATGGCATACGGAACTTATTGAAGCAACATGGAATCATAGGCTGGGTGCTCTTGTATGTCATTTAAGCCATATCCCCAACCTTAAAACACAACTGTATTGTAGGTCTGTGGGATTCTTGAGTTTATTGGGAAAGTATTTTCATTTTTTTTTTTAATAGCTTAAGAGTTTCTAGAAATCTCCTTAATGTTTACTCAGTTTCCTTGGAAAGCCTCTGCTTTCCAAGGAAATTTGTGTGAATGCTGGGGTTGTTCCCTTAATATTCTTGACATCTATGCTCTAAAAATTTTTCCTGACTGAAGCTATTAATAAATATGCATATTTATAGGCCTCTCTGTGTATCTGCCCATATGTCTGGTCTTCCCATAGATTAAAGAGTACCTTCTGGAACTCCTTATTTGAAATGGTAAATACCACTTTTTAAAGACCTTTAAGAATAAAGATGTAATGAGGATTTAAGGATTAGTAGTTTATTTCAGAATTAAATAAATATATATTAGGGGGAAATAACAGATGTACAAAATATTTGAGGCTCCTAACCTTTTTTATCAATGGTCTTTTTTCTTTCAGCATATATACGTTTCCATCTAATTTCACCCTTGATACAGAAATCTGCAGCAAAGTAAGCAATTGTTTTTTTTTGAAAAATATATTTTTTAGTTATTGAAAAACTATTTTGTTTCATTCTAAATCATTCTTTCATTTTCTCTATCCATATTTGAGCTATGTTGCTGCTCCATTGCTAGCACCCATATAGGTAAAACATGCTGATAGTGTAGACTAGAGCAGTTCATTCCCAATTACTGGATGGGGAAAAGTCCTTAAAGTAAAAGGCTGGGCGCGGTGGCTCATGCCTATAATCCCAGCACTTTGGGAGGCCGAGGCGAATCACGAGGTCAAGAGATCGAGACCATCCTGGTCAACAAGGTGAAACCCCATCTCTACTAAAAAAAAAAAAAAATACAAAAATTAGCTGGGTATGGTGGTGTGCGCCTGTAGTCCCAGCTACTCGGGAGGCTGAGGCAGGAGAATTGCTTGAACTCAGAAGGCGGAGGTTGCGGTGAGCTGAGATCATGCCATTGCCCTCCAGTCTGGGTAACAACAGCGAAACTCCATCTCAAAAAAAAAAAAAAAAAAAAAGTAAAGATCACTTTGGGTGAGTGTCTAGTCTGTAATGAGACTGATGGATCTGTTGATTCTGTATTTATAGAATACAAAGGAATGTGATTGTTTCTGTTCTTAACAAATCACTTAGTATTTATGTAGATAACTTTCATTGTGGAAAGCCAGAGCACCTAAAATGTATCTGAACATAGGAGATACTTGAGAAATGTTGGCGCAGTTCTTCTTTCTTTTCCCACTTAACTGTAAAATCCAAACTTAAAATGACAAGCAGCACTAGAATTTGTTAATATTCACTCTAAAAAATGCATTCCCATACCTCAGATTTTTAATTAGTCTGAACGCCAAGGCTTGGAGGTAGACAGAGCCGTCAGGCCAGTGCTGCTGTTGCCCATTCCATTTACCTCAGTGTGAAGTATAAATATTATCGTTTTCTATGTGTATATAACATGATAAAGATTGGGAAACACTGCTGAATGTAGGAATTCTGTAATGCACCTCTGAAACTGAATCCTGAGTAAGCTTTTTTACCTTTGAACTAAATTAATATATAGTTTTACATTCTGGAGTAGAGTAATTTACAATTTCTAAAAATGAAGCTGCTTACCCTAAACTGAAGCAAATCTATTTCATGTGTTTTTCTTACTAATTAAAGATGGTATTTGCATTTTGTACTCCTTAGTGTGGTCCTCTTTGATATCTTTGTCAATATCCTTACGCATAACCTTGCGGAACCAGCTTATGAAGCAGATGTGGCACAGCTGGAGTATAAACTGGTAGCTGGAGAATATGGTTTAGTTATTCGAGTAAAAGGATTTAACCACAAACTACCTGTAAGTACACTCTGTTTTCCTTGGAGAGAGCATTAAAATGCCATATTTACATGGAGGTTTGTGCATGGGATGCTGTACAGAGGAAAAATGTTTATTCATATATTATCATGAGTATTATTGGCTGATGACAGCTATTCTAACTTTAACTAACCATAATAGAACAACATATGTTTCATTAATTACTGGCAGTACATGGGATTATAGCCTGTGCTTTAGGATTGATTTCACTTCCCTTTGCTATCAGTTTCCACAGCAACACTGGCATTTAGGATTGGTTCTAATTAAATTTTTTACCATACAGGAATAACAGTATTTGTTTTGAGACGTACTCTTACTCCATCATCACAGACTGGAGTGCAGTAGTACGATCTTGGCTCACTGCAACCTCTGCCTCCCGGGTTCTATTGGTTCTTGTGCCTCAGCCTTCTGAGTAGCTGGGACTGTAGGCACATGCCACCATGCCCAGCTAATTTTTGTATTTTTAGTAGAGATGGGGTTTTGCCATGTTGGCCAGGCTGGTCTTGAACTCTTGACCTCAAGTGATCCACCTGCCTCGGCCTCTGAAAGTGCTGGGATTACAGGCATAAGCCACCATGCCAGCCATGGAATAACAAATTTGACTGGTACATTGCCTGAAATAGAGTAGAACTCAAATGCTTGTGCCCTTACTTCCTCATCTATACTCTCTCTCATTGTTTCAAGTATGTGTGTCTTGTTTCCCTTCTAAGTTTATGAACCTTTTTGAAACAGGGTCTGTATCATGTCAATTATTAATCTTAGTGAGGAATATGTTCCAGTATTGCTTCATCAGAAACTTCGAAAGAAGAGAAAAAAATAATGGGTTGTTAGCAAAGAGAGTTAATTATTGAATACCAGGTAAAGTGATATAATATACTCAATAATACATTTTATATCTAGGTTTCTTGGGTATAATACATATTAATATTTAGGTAAATAGGTTTATATAAGAAAGATTTTAGAGGAAAGCACCTGCCAGAAAGACCTGTGCTAGGTGGTAACAGCCTTCATGTTGGCAAAAAACCCAAGCGAAGAGTATAGCTCTCACCTTTTTATGCCTTTTCCCTTCTCCATCTCCCCAGGGAACAAAAATTGGTGTCAGAAGGAGATATCATGGAATATTTTACTTTGTCAACCTTCTAAGGCCTAAATATAATGTAGCTTAAGTTTCAAGCAGATTAAAGCCTAATTCAGTGGTTGTCAATTAAAAGATATGTTTTAGAATGACTTGGAGAGCTTATCAAAAATACGAACCATAGAAAAGTATTTGATATTCTTGAATTTGTGAGGCTTGCTCAGCCCTTAATATTAAAACCTAATATAGAGCACATATCTATATATATGTATGTACAGAAAACTACAGATCAATTTTACCTATAGAATATAGATGTAAACTTTCTTAAAATTTGAACATTAAATCCAGTATAGCAAAAAGAGTAATTCAAGTACCAAGAATGCTAGGGTTGTGTAGTATTAGGAAAATGATGATCATAAGTCACCATAACACAAGTCAAAGGAGAACCACTATATGAATATAGTGATAACTGCTGATAAATCATTTGATATATTTGAATTGGTATTCCCAACAAATCAGAATGGAAGAAAATTACTTAAGTATAAAAACCTCAAGTAAAGAACTATCAGGAGACATTACATTAACTGATAAAATGATGAACACTGACATCAAAGAATAATCCACAATCATCTCTATTATTATTATCATTGTTTTAGAGGTTCTGGCTATTACAGTAAGATGAAAAAATGAAAACTTTTTTGGAAAAATATTTTTCCCTGCAGATGATATGATTATATTCTTAGAAAACCTCACATACCACTAAAATTAAATAAAAGATTAGGTGTGATATGGCTGTATATCAGAATCAATGGCTTTTTTTCCTGCATAGTAGCAATAACCACTTAGAAATGGAAGCCAGGCGGATGTGCCTGTGGTCCCAGCTACTCCAGAAGTTGAGGCACGAGAAATACTTGAGTTTGAGCATATAGTGAGCTGTGATTGTGCCACTACCTGGGGGATATGGTGAGGCTCTGTCACTTTTTTTTGAGACAGAGTTTTGCTCTTGTTACCCAGGCTGGAGTGCAATGGTGCGATCTCAGCTCACTGCAAACTCTGCCTCCTGGGTTCAGGCAATTCTCCTGCCTCAGCCTCCTAAGTAGCTGGGATTACAGGCACGCGCCACCATGCCTAGCTAATTTTTTGTATTTTTAGTAGAGACCGGGTTTCACCATGTTGACCAGGATGGTCTCGATCTCTTGACCTCGTGATCCACCCGCCTCGGCCTCCCAAAGTGCTGGGATTACAAGCATGAGCCATCGTGCCTGGCCGCCTCTGTCTCTTAAACAAAGAAATAAATGGATGGAAACAGTCTTATATTTATTTACAATATTGAGGGGAAAAAAACAATAAAATGGCTAATAAACAGGAAAAGTATAGGACCTATCTAAAGACAGACTACAAATCTTATTGAGAACACCCATGAAATGATTTAAAAAGGAAGAATTGTTCCAAATTTGACAATTATTTAGGATTTTGGAGCCTTAAGATTTTTTGAGGCTGGGAGGCTGAGGGGGGAGGATCTCTTGAGGCCAAGAGTTTGAGACCAGCCTGGCAACATAGCAAGACCTCATCTGTACAAAAGCAAAAAAATTAGCTGGGAATGGTGGTGCGTGCCTCTAGTCCCAGCTACTCAGGAGGCTGAGGTGGGAGTATCGCTAGAGCCCAGGCATGTGAGGTTGCAGTGAGTTACGATTGGCCATACCACTGCATTCCAGCCTGGATGACTGGAATGATATCCTGTCTCCAAATAACATCCAAACAAAAAAATTGAGTTATTAGTAATTTTCTTATGTCCCCCCACATTCCTAGTACCATGGTGAGCCCCTGGTAAAAACTGAAGAAAAGCATTTTCCTCCCTAATACATAGTAGATTTCCATGCTTCTTAAAATGCTCCCTTCTTTTTCTTTTAGTTACTGTTTCAGCTCATTATTAACTACTTAGCAGAGTTCAGTTCCACACCAGCTGTCTTTACAATGATAACTGAGCAGTTGAAGAAAACTTATTTTAACATCCTCATCAAGCCAGAGACTTTGGCCAAGTGAGTATAAATGAGATGAGCTTATATTTTGAGGGCCTGAAAGTATTAGTCTTCCTAGTGGGTAGGTGTGGGGGATAACACTAGTCCAGTGCTAATTTTTAGCCATGTTTGAATTGTGCTGTGGTTTAGGAAACCAGTCCAGAGGGTTATAGTATTTCTAAACCCAGCTTATGTAGTTAGCTGTGAATGGGACTGAAAGCAGCCTACTGTACTTAGAGACTAAAAGTAAAGAAGAGTGTTTTCCCCAATCATCATAACTAAATAACAGTTAAAGATGTGCTTGTTTTGGGCCGGGCATGGTAGCTCATGCCTATAATCCCAGCACTTTGGGAGGCTGAGGTGGGAAGATCACGAGCCCAGAAGTTCAAGACCAGCCTGGGTAATAGCAAGACTTTATCTCTACAAAAAATAAAATATTAGCTGGGTGTGGGGGCACATGCCTGTAGTCCCAGCTACTTGGGAGACTGAGGTGGGAGGATTGCTTGAGTCCAGAAGGTTGAGGCTGCAGTGAGCCATGATCATGCCACTGCACTCCAGCCGGCATGACAGAGACAGACCCTGTCTCATAAAAAACAAACAAAAAAATCAAAAAGAAGTACTGGCTTTATTGTAGCCCTGAATTATTTATTGGTGATTTTAGTATGTTGGTGATTAGTAGCTGAGTTAAATTTCTAACCATGTCACTTATCTAGCCATCTTAACTATTCCAAATCAGCCAAGGTTCCAGAAGAGACCAGAAAGGTAGCTAAACAGTCTGTATGCTAATACTTAAACCCTCTGCCTATAGGCAACCCCCTTAGGCCTTCCCTCAGAGCCTGTTCTTACTACTTTAGTCCAGGGCTAATTGTAGCCTGTAGGACAGGTTTGTGTGAATCAGAAAAAAGTATCCCTTTGGGGTACCCTTTATTAGCAGGTGGAGCCTTTGTGGGAAGGAGAGAAAAGTCTTCTGAACAGACATAGCCCTTTGTGCACATGGCTGGCTAGCCCCTACTTGACCTTTTTGCTCTGAGGATCTATAAATAGTGAACAGCACAACCTTATGTAGTGTAGAGGTTCTGCTTTTGACACAGCTATAATGAACCCATCAGTTTCCAGAATTAGAAGGGGTTAGGAGTCAGGCATGTAATAACTGATATTCTGATTATAGAAAGTTACAAAAACTATTAACCAGATATATGTATGTTAGAAAGGAGAGTTATCTCTAACAATTGATATGATAAACCCCTGCCAATAACTCAAGAATACTATTTTATTTATTTATAAAAATACTACATTATTAAATTCAACCTTCTGTTGTATTAAAATTCAACTCCTGAAATTTATAAAAGCTAGAATAATAAACCTGTTTGTTGAAGATTTTTGTGCCAGATCTAAGACTTTTATATATATTCATTAATTTAATTCTAACCCAAATGGTTACCTCTTATAAATTACTTCCCTTATTTTACAAATGAAGAAATTGAGTCATAGATGTTAGCAAACTTGTCAAATTCGAACAGCTAATTCGGGTTGGGGTTGTGGAGATGGGGGATGAAGTTAATCTGATTCTGGACAAGAGCCGTTACCTCTATTATATTGTCACTGCAGTAATAGATACCCAATTGATGGCCTCTAGAAATTAATAAAATACTAGATTTCAAACCAAAATAGTAATAATTTTAAGTCAATGTACAACTAAATAATCTTGACTCATCTGGCAGCTTTACTTTTATTTGAAATATTTTACTCTGCAACTGAGACAGGTAAGTGCATTTTTGTACTGTTAAGTACATTTGTTTAAAAGTTTGCATATGTGATTTTAAGTACTTTTTTGGTGATTATGATACTGTTTTCCCATCTTATATTGAGATAAAAATGGTCTCTCTTTAGAAAAGCATTCTTTATAGAAATTTGACCAAATATTTCTTTATTCTCTTGAGAATAAAGAAGATTCATTTCTAATAACATAACTTTGCATATTTTTTTCTGCCCTCTGTACAGAGATGTGCGGCTTTTAATCCTGGAATATGCCCGTTGGTCTATGATTGACAAGTACCAGGCTTTGATGGATGGCCTTACCCTTGAGTGTCTGCTGAGCTTCGTCAAAGAATTCAAATCCCAGCTCTTTGTTGAGGGCCTGGTACAAGGGAATGTCACAAGCACAGTGAGTGTGAGATGCTCTGTTAGCGTAGGCCAGGTCTGAATGCAGTTATGAACTTTGGAATTGCATTAGTTCTTCCCTAAAGGGGAAACTGTAGCTTTGGCAGGCCAGCATTATCATATTCTGTTTAGGAGGGAACCTGACCCCTCTGACGCTGGGCAGTTTTCTTATAATGAAGACTGCTGGGCTGCATGGTGGCTCACACCTATAATCTCAGCATTTTGGGAGGCCAAAATGCTGGGATTTGGGAGGCAGGAGCATCACTTAAGGCCAGGATTTCAAGACCAGTCTAGGCAACATAGTAAGACCTCATCTCTACAAAAAAAAAAAAAAAAATTAGCCAGACATGGTGGCACATGCCTGTAGTCTCCGCTACTTAGGAGGGTTAGGTAGAAGAATCATTTGGGCTCAGGAGTTTGGGGCTCAGGATGCTATGACTGTACCACTGTATTCTAGCCTGGGCAAGAGAGTAAGGCCCTGTCTCCAAAGAAAAGAAATAAAGAGAGAAAGAAAGAAAAAAACAGATTGCTGGTAATAGACCAGGACTTTGAGTGAAATGGGTCTGGCATATCTATACTATTAGTTACATTTGTTGAAGATTGTATTTGGAAACCATAAACAATTTAGTATAGAGACTAAAATAGGAGGAAGGAAATGTGAGGGATGTGTGTCCATACATACATACATACATAGCCTGAACAAGTATGTTAAGCTTGTTTGTGAAGCTAAGGTGCTGGGGCTTTATTCTGTACAAATGGAGAACCGTTAAAGGATTTAAGAAGATTTGTGGTTGAGAAATATCCAGACAGACAAGTTATGAAGCTGTTATAAAAACTTGTATAGATATGATTTCACTCATATGAGTTATCCAAAGTAGTTAAACTCATAGAAGCAGAAAATATGATGGTTTCCAATAGTTGGGGAGAAGAGAGAATTTTGGGTCTGCTAGATGAAAAAGTTCTGAAAATCTAATCTACTGCACAACAGTGTGAATAATTTATTAACATTATTGAACTGTACACTTTTAAAAATTGGCTGGGCACAGTGGCCCATGCCTGTAATCCCAGCACTTTGGGAGGCTGAGGCAGGTGAATCACAGGGTCAGAAGATTAAGACCATCCTGGTCAACATGGTGAAACCTTTCACTACTAAAAATACAAAAATTAGCCGGGCGTGGTGGTGTGTGCTTATAGTCCCAGCTACTCAGGAGGCTGAGGCAGGAGAATCGCTTGAACCCGGGAGGCAGAGGTTGCAGTGAGCTGAGATCATGCCACTGCACTCCAGGGCAACAGAGCAAGAGTCTGTCTCAAAAAAAAAAAAGTTGGATTGGAGTGAAAAATGTTGAAGCCTAATGTTAGGCCCAAATAAAAAAAAAGAATTACTGAAGGCCGGACAGGGCGGCTCATGCCTATAATTCCAGTACTTTGGGAGGCTGAGGTGGCAAAATCACTTGAGCTCAGTAGTTTGAGACCCCATTTCCACACACACACATACACACCACACACACACACACACACACACATACTAGCTGGGTGTGGCAGTGTGCACCTGTAGTCTCAGCTACTCAGGAGGCTGCGGTGAAAGGTTTGCTTGAGCCCAGGAGGTGGAGGCTACAGTGAACTGAGATCTTCATGCCATTGCACTCCAGCCTCAGCCTGGGCAACAAAGCAAGACCTGTGTTTCAAAAAAAGAAAGAAAAAAAGTGCTTAAGAAAGAGATGACCAGAACTCACTCAGTGGGGGTGGGAAAGAAGGGAATCTAGAATGATGCCCAAAGTTCTTGCTTGAAGCAGTGGGTTGGTGGAGCAGGAATTATATTAAGATTGGGAGCATATGAGGAGTTTGTTCTGGTACATAGTGAGTTGGACATGTCTGTGGATCCTTGTACCTAAGGCCTTTTCCTCAGTCAGATGCTTGTTCAAGATTCTCTCCTTAAACCGTTTGGCTGTTAACCATCCTCCTCCATGGTTTCCCAGTTTCTCAGGGCTGGCCCTTTGATTGGAATACATAAATGGTTACTCTTGAAATTGTGGCTGCCATCCTCCCCTTCTCTCTGTCTTCATTCTCCAACCCCAAAACCAGCCTTAGTTTCTGTCTTGGTCTCCAAAAAAATTTTAAGTCTCAATCCACAAAGGAAAGAGAAAGAACAGTTGCCTGTTTTCTCGAGCCCCGTGGGAGTACCGGGCAAGGGCTTTTGGCACAGAGTACTTATTACCATGAATTTTCCCCAGTAGAAATCACTTCAGAAAAGAGCTCATCCCTTCACTTATTCCTTATTTTATAGATAAGAACACATAATTCTTAAAAGGGGAAGATAATGTGTTCACTCAGTATTAAATGTTATTTTCTTTGCTTTAATCCAGGTTCTATGTCAATGGGCTCAGGATTCTGAAACATAGTCCATCGTTGTCATAAAGGCCATATTCATAGCCTAGTTGGGTAAACTAACACTGTATAATTAATTTTGATCCAGTTTGGAAACTGTATATGGGTAAACAGATTGCCAAGGGAGCCAGAACAGTTAAGAGTCACTGAGTGTTCCACAAACATGAATAACTTGTCCAACATTTAGGTCACCAACTCTGTCTGCTTTTCTAAAGCTATGCAGGGCTCCCCAAGCAGTTGGAACATTGATGTTAGCTGATTCTGGGTGAAATGAATGTCTAGAGAGCCTAATACAGTTATTCTCTTTTGCCTCGCAGGAATCTATGGATTTCCTGAAATATGTTGTTGAGTAAGTATCTGAATTTTCTCTTTGGGGTTATGTATTCTTACCAGTGAGAGGGCATGGAGCCACAACCCAGTTGTTACTAAACACACAATTGAAATACTGCTTGTGGTAGATTTTTTTGAGGCTGGTGTACAAAGCAATTGAAAAGGTGCTGTAGAAGGCCTAGCTACTTAGAGTTTTTAGGTGCCTCAGTGACCCATACTAATTCTCTTGCAGCAAACTAAACTTCATGCCTCTGGAGCAGGAGATGCCTGTGCAGTTCCAGGTAGTTGAGCTGCCCAGGGGCCACCATCTATGCAAAGTGAAAGCTCTGAACAAGGGTGATGCCAACTCTGAAGTCACTGTGTACTACCAGGTCAGTTGGGGGTATTAAAGACTGGTGGAAGATTCAGTACCTGACCCAGTGACCTTCAAGGCCCTTTTATAGTTACTTCTGTCGTTTCATGCTTGAGGCCATTTGTCTTCTTGAAGCAACTACATTTAAACATTGCTCCTATTGGTAAAATTGATCCTTTTTCAGTCGCAGTGAGGTATTGCTTTATTAATCACCTAAGTACTAATCCAGAGGGCCAGAAATTGAGGTGTGGATGGAAATCCCTACATGTGCCTCCCGACAGAACTCCCAAGTAGCAGGACATTTGTTAAGGGACAGTTTTGAAAAGGATACAGAAGTAAACATAGCCAAACAATTAAGACACAACAAACAGAATGACTACCAGAGTCATAAATGTTTTAAAGCACCTGAGAGGAAGGATTTATCACCTCTGTTTTAGGGTGACAACTCCATGGTCCAGAGCCTCTTTCTTCTTGAGGTCTTACCAGCTGGGTCTTAAATTTATTCCTTTTATCTTCAGATTCTGTGTTCTTTCCATGTCATCCTATTGGGGAGGGTGGTGTTTAAAGGGAGCACTTAGCAATAATCACAGTTAGCTAGCCCATAGCCTTCTTTAACCTGTGGTTGGTCCCACTCGCTTCTAGAACTATGGAGATCTTCCTTAAACCTGTGCATGTCGTCTGATTGCTGACTTCCCAAATTCTGGGGCTCCTATAGCTACTGCTGTCATCTTGGGTTCCCTGCATCAGGAATTCACTTTTTATCAGGTCTTGTGAAGATCCCTGACTGGGCTTTGGGTGGGATGTTCTGATTATCATCATCTGTGTCTTATATTTCTGGCCCTGGGCCTCAGCCTTATTCTGACATTAGCCTGGTGTGGTTGTCAGGAGCCAATTCACTTGCCAAAGGTCACAGTCATCTTTTGATTGTTAGTGAAGTTGTGTCTTGTCCTAGTCATCTTTATAGGTACTTTGATTCAGGAGCAACAGCAGTTCTGGAGCTAGGTTGATAAAATTTTTGTCCTTTTGTAGAGGCCCTGCTTCTGTCTGGCACCTCTGTGGCTGTAGCATTCCAACCTGCAGCCTTTTCTAGGTTATTACTACCAGATCCCAAACTCCACAAATGGTATGGCCTAGGCTTTCTTAACCTAGTGTACATTTTCAGTGCCTCTGACTGCTTACAACCCCGGGACAGGAGAACCTCTCATTTTCAGCAGGATTTCATATTGTAAGACTGTTCACAGAAATGCTTTCTAACAGTCACCTCTTAGCACTAGCTTCTAGTACAAATTGCTTCCTTTAGAAAACCATATCCTTTCTCACATAGAGCATTGGTTTTGTTGTGGTCCTTTTAGAGGGAAACAGAAAACCTCAGTGCTGACTAATCAGGGCTTGCAAAGGCACATAGGCATTAGCCTCTTCCTCTGGTAAATGGGAAGCAAATGACTATGTCAGAGGACCCTACAAGATCCTGACTCTGGGATGTACTAGCAACATCCTTGTTTACTGGCCTCCTGCCCTTTCATTCTGAATGCATTATTTTACCAATCTCGGCAGCTAGCATGTGATTCCAAAGCGTGGCTTCTTCCTCTTAAGTATTTTTCTTATCAAGTGGTTTTGTTCCTTGTGTGTGGCATGGAGTCTGTTTTCTGTCCTGAGGAATAGATCCAGATACATTTTAGGATCTGCAAACATTTCCTGCTATCTTCCTTAGGGCTTTGAATTGCAAGTACTTAATTTTAGAATGTGTCCTCTGGGCCCTTTGAGTCCTCTAGCAGGATCTGGTAAAGTCAGAGATTATTAATCCCACCTTTCTTTACACCTGTAATTCTATGCTAGTGCCGGGAGTACAAATGATCAGGCATGACTCCTGTCCTCATAGACCTTCAGTCTGGTGGGAAGGCAGATATGTAAACACCACCAAAGTATGATTAACTCTCTTGGGGGAGAGCATTGGTGGCGATACCTAAGTGGTTGTCTAGAATAGCTGGATTATTTAAAAGCCCTATAAACCACTGGATATTCAGTTGGCCTGACTACCTTCTCTTTTCAGTCAGGTACCAGGAGTCTAAGAGAATATACTCTTATGGAGCTGCTGGTGGTAAGTGTATAAAGGAGATGCTGAGGTTTTCCGCAGCCCCTGACCCACTGTGAAGCCTGGCGTTTTCTGCCTGGGATAGGGACATGGGGTGGTCAGAGACCTGTGATTCGAAGGTGAGATGGTCATTTACTGTTCTCACCCAGTATAAGCATGGACAGGAGGCCTGGGCCAATTAGGAAAAAGGCACTAAGGGAGGCCGGACTTGGGAAACACTTTGGGGGAAGAAATGGAGGTTTCTCTGCTGGGAGGAGTTGGGCTGATGGACAATATGTTGAATTACAGATGCACATGGAAGAACCTTGTTTTGACTTCCTTCGAACCAAGCAGACTCTTGGGTAAGTCTGCTGGCAAGGCCCTGAGCTCAAATAAGGGCCTAGAGCTGAAGTTTATCAAATATCCTTACTGAGCAGCCTGTTAGAGCTTCCTTCCATCTCACAGGGTGACACTTACTCATCCAAACTTTTGGAATTTGTATCTTGGACTATAATCAGGTTTTCAGTTTGGTCAAGTTTCCAGATAAGGAAAGAGGCTAGTTCATGTTCCCCAATTCAGGAGAGGTATGGCCACTTTAACATTTTTGGGTCCTGTTTCAGGACCTCCAGTCCCAGTAAGGATGGGCAGAAACATTTCCCACTCAGATCTAATGCCTTCAAGGCCAGGGCCCAGATGAGCACCTGAGCTCATATAACTTTTTTCTTTGGCTGTAGGTACCATGTCTACCCTACCTGTAGGAACACATCTGGGATTCTAGGATTTTCTGTCACCGTGGGGACTCAGGCAACCAAATACAAGTGAGTAAGGAAGTGAATAGATGAGTGTAACCTCCTATTATGGATATGGAGAGTAGCCAAGGGCTACATGTGCTTCTTGAAACCTTAGGTTTGCTCTGTTAAGTCAGTGGAAGCTGGGAAGATGGTGGTTGTTATAGATGGCATGTTCTAGGACTGATCAATAGTTCCAGTGGCCCTACAGGACTTGATTCAAGTCCTGTGTTCATTGTGCAGGGCTTGCCAATGTTTCTTCTCTTCAGGAAGACCTGAGGACAAGAAGGGAAGGGATGCTTGATCTGACATGCATGCTGAAACCTGTTTTCAGCTTTGGAATGGTCAAACATGGTTGTGACAGTTTCATTATGAGGAGACTAGGAAACTGGGCTGGAGACGGGGTGAAGGGGAGGGTTTTGTTTTCTTCCTTTCCTCAACTTAAGGTAGAATACTGAAGCCTGGAAAAACACGTTAGCCTTTTTTCCTGGAAATATATTTTAATTCCTTCTTTTGCCTTCTGCCTGAGATCAGGTTTCTGATGACTGAATTGAAGGTGTTTTGTTTCAGTTCTGAAGTTGTTGATAAGAAGATAGAAGAGTTCCTTTCTAGCTTTGAGGAGAAGATTGAGAACCTCACTGAAGACGCATTCAACACCCAGGTGACTGAGCCAGCCTGGTCTTTTGACCTCTGGCCCACAGAAGCCCCCAGATACAAGTCTTACCAGGGCTATTTGTTGGCTAGTTTTTAGTGTTGTAGCCCCACCTTACTCTTACCATAGTGTCCCTCTAGCTTCATCCCTCTCTATCATGCTGGCTCCATCACAAGCCAGACTGGACAGTACCAGGTGTGTTCTGGGGGAAGTGGTATGTTCCCACACCTGAGCATTTTTCTTTTTGGTGGGAACAGGTCACAGCTCTTATCAAGCTGAAAGAGTGCGAGGATACCCACCTTGGGGAGGAGGTGGATAGGAACTGGAATGAAGTGGTGACACAGCAGTACCTCTTTGACCGCCTTGCCCACGAGGTAACATGATTTTCAAAATAAGACAGCCCAGACAAACTGGTGAAGGTTCCTGATTCTACAGTAGTCACAGGCCCATGCAAACCAGCATCGTGTGGAGGAGAAGACTGAACACTAGCCCTGGCCTGGTTACTTGCTCACTTCTTGAGTTTTCAGACTGGCCTCTCTAGCACCTTAGTGGCCATGTGAGCTGGGTGCTAATCCTTACAACACTACCACCAATTTCAGTCAGAGAAGGTCTATTTTTGTGCTATATATTGAGGTTTACAAGATTTTGTAGAGAAAAAAGTTTTGCCATTTAAAGAAAATTGAGGACTTTTGTTTTTATGGAGTTCGTTATTCCAGGTGCAGGTCTTTTGACAATTTCTATTCCAAAGTAGTAAAACCTATGAAAAAGAGATCTGGATCCTGCAGTACAGTGTGACTTTTGGTAATATATAGCCCTATATGGTGAACTACCACAGGACATCATTGCTCTGTGATGGAGAGGTTACTCAACAAGAGGCTTCACCTTAACACACTCTAGTTTTCTTAATAGAAGGTAGATTTCCTCAAGCCACAGTATGCAGTTACCATGTAATTGGGAGGTCACCCTAACAAGATCTGGGTGCTGGGCTCAGTGTCTGCTATTTAGCTGTAATTATAGCATCTACTAACCTCTCTTGCCATTGTAGATGATTATAAAACATCAAGGTATGCCAGAGAGCTTCATCATTCTGGTCTGGAAGGTTAGGAGTAACCTGAGAATAGGAGGAATAAAATGAAGTCTTCAGATGCTAAGCTAAGAGCTATTTTCTTCTAATTTCTTTCCTATCCTCCCTTCACTTGTAAGATTGAAGCACTGAAGTCATTCTCAAAATCAGACCTGGTCAACTGGTTCAAGGCTCATAGAGGACCAGGAAATAAAATGCTCAGCGTTCATGTGAGTATGGTTAACTCCATCCTTTTTAGGGTTGTCACTTACTGAGTTTGGGTGGTTATCAGAGATCTTAAACCCCTAAATCTGGTCAGCATATTTTTCACCTTTGTCTTTGACCTTTTTCAGGTTGTTGGATATGGGAAGTATGAATTGGAAGAGGATGGTACCCATTCTGGTGAGGATTCAAATTCTTCTTGTGAAGTGATGGAGCTAACATACCTGCCAACGTCTCCTCTGCTGGCGGATTGTATCATCCCCATTACTGATATCAGGGCTTTCACATCAACACTCAACCTTCTCCCCTACCATAAAATAGTCAAATAAACTGCAGTCGCGTTGGCCTGAAGCAATGTGTGTTTTAAAATGTGTTTGTATTTATGGAGTTGTTTATACTATTACTGCCTTTGAATTTTTGCACTGGCATCATAGCATTTGGTTTACTTTTTATCCTTTCTTTGTTGAGACTAGTAAGCCCAGGGTTACTATAGGAGCTGGAGAAAAAATTGTTAGCAGAGTGGGCCAGAGAGACCAGAAAGCTTAAAACAGTACTTCTGAGAAGCCCTGGTCTGAGTCCTGAGACTGAGAATCTACTTCTTGAAAGGCCCTATGAAACCAGTATATTGAATAACTAAATGCTAGGTATTAGTGTTTGTTAGTACCTAAATGCTAACATAACATGAAGGTTCTTTATTTCCCTTCAGAACGAGCCATTTGCTGCTGTGGCATTCATTTTATTCTATCTATTTTGGTTCACTGTGGGGTGGGTATCCATATATACTCTTCCCAAATCCTCTAAGGCAATGAAACAGTTTTGGATAAAATGTTGGCAGGTAGCCCTACATGTGTAACATGAGTTCAGTGAAGATTCGGAGGAGTCGTCTGGCAGGGGCTAAAGACAGAACACAGAGTCTGAGAGAGGAAAGAGGAAAAGAAAGAATCGATCCTCCATTTTTTTAAAGTGTCTTTTTGAAAAGCTAGCTCCTGTATTCAAGGTTCTTGAGTAACTGGCTTCCAAGTTTAACTGTAAAGATAATAAAAGATGCGCATTTTAAAAAAAGGTTGGGAAAAATACTTTATGAAGCCTTAAGCACTAAGAATAATTAAACTGTAATTCAGGATTAGATAGAATTTAATAATAGTTCAGTTCCAAAATAAAAGTTGTTATAGGTAAGACCATGAAATTTCCTAACACTTGATTTTAATACATTGTGCTAATTTTCTAAAACAACTCAGAGAACCCATATTTACAGTAGGCAGAGTATTTATGAAAAAATCTGGCATCAGGTGTATTTTAATGTGTGTGTGTATACATATGTGTGTTTGTATGTGGTGTGTATATAGATGTGTGTGTGTATGTATCCCAGGATTATATGAACTAAGAAACAGGTTGTATATCTTAACAGCAGTACTAGAGTGTGGCGTTTCAGACATAGATTTATAAATGCTTTTCAACATGGGAGGTTTGGAAAAGGAGCAGACATCACCTTGTTTTCAAAACCTGAAGTTTTTCTCAGGACTGAAGTCAAAATCATAACTGCCACAGAGGGAAAAGAGAACCTTTTCCCACTTTAATTGTTCACCTGTGTCAGAAAGTCCAGTATCCCTGAGATAGGAACCACTGTAATAAGAAGGGAGTGAACAGGTTTCTCCCAAAGGAAGATTATTTCTTGCTGAATTATGCCTACTTCCCTGATCATCAGGTATAAACTTCGCATCTTCCAACCTAATGCTTGGCAGCACCAAGACGTTTCAGTAACGGTTCATCATAAACCCAACATTCTCCATCTTCATGAAATAACTGTAAGAGAAAGGGGGAGAATTTAGTTACATATTTGCTTTGTACTTCTATACTTATTTCATGTCTTCTCCTCGCCCCGCTATTAGAATGACATGAGTTTCAAGTAGGGACCAGGGATCACCTTGTTTATTGACAGTGTTTGGCACATCACTTCTTTGACATTCACTGAAATAAATTACTGCTCAGGTATAGGAGGAGTGGCACTTAGAAGGGTGGGGCAGGCAAGCTTACCCTTGTCTCCCACTGAATTTCCTTTTCCTTCCTTTCTCGGGCTTCTGCTCTTTGTCTTTCTTCAAGCCTGTGCTTTGCTTCAGTTGCTGCTTCAATGTCTCTGATTTTTAAGTTGAAAGTGACATCCTTCCAAAGGCTAAAACAAAGAGGTAAGAGATGTTGGGAATGAAAACCTACCACCACCCTGAATCTAGTATAGCACAAGTCAAATGGCTTCAAGTGCTGTAGGCCACAGACTAAATCTTCTTATGCTGGCACCAGAACAGAGATAAGGTCTCCAAAGACTCCACTGCCAGTTGTCAAAGAAGAAAATAAGGGCTGCCTGATAACATAAGGTCAACAGAAGAAAAAAAATAGGGAAGCTGAGACATGGGATTCTACTTCTGGCTCTGTGACTTACTGTGCAACTCTGGGTCCATCAGTTTACCTCTCTAGGGCTTGAGTGTCCCTTATTATATACTGAGTGTTAGAGGAACTAAGAAGTTCCATTTCAGAAAAACTCCCTTGGATTTAACAATGTGGTAGAAAAAAAGAGTATGAATGGAGAGAATAAGGATCAAGATGTAAATTACAGAGGCTTAATTAACATAGTTAAGATGTGGCCTTTATTCCCATTATTCCCATTTAAGGAAAGAAGGTAAAGAGAAGTTAGCTAACTTAGTCATCCACTACCACTTACTACTTACAAAGGTAGTAAGTGGTAATTCTGACATATCGAACCCAGGCATTCAAACCTGGTCTATACTCTGTTAGGCTCTGCTCTACTGTTTCTAAAACCCAGCCTTGTGCCTACACCTAGGCAGTTTAAGCACTGCAGCAATAGTTCCACTTAATGTCGGCTTACCTGCGGGATTCATACTCGTTCTGATCTTCCAACTTCCTCACTTTCTTCTTGATTATAGGCAACTTCTTGGTATCTACAAAAACTGTATTTTCCTAGAAAACAACAGAGGTGGATGGGGAACTAGACCCATAAACCCCTAATCTGAATGTTAAGCACACTGTAGTGCTTTTGACATTTCAAATTCTCTAGGTCCAAAACATAGTTCACTGGCTCCTATTAATTTCATACCAGCTTTCCTCTTTGAGGAGAACACTGAGTGCACAGTAGTACAGAGTGCAAGTTCCTTGAAGGAAAGGACTATCTTACTCATTTTGGTATCTCTGGTGCCAGGCAGTCAGTAAATTTTATTATACAAAATCTTTAACTGTGTGTATATGCAAACACACCGTTTACTGCTTCATTTTATAAACATATCACACACACCTAATATTTACTGGGTTCTTAACTATGTGCCAGGCATTGTTTTACATATATTATTCTCAAGTGTTTTGTTTGAGAGCAGAGAGAAAAATAAAAATGATTATGATCAGCTATACTGCTAGGAGAAGGTGGGGGAAGGAAAGAAAAAAACATGCCTTGAGATGACAGATATCAGAGCTGTGTTAAAGTTCCAGCTCTAATGTACTATAGAAGGAAGTGCATTATAACAGAAGTACTAATGAAGGAAGCCAGAACAAGGGATAGGGTACAATCTAACATAGCCTAAACAAGTGGCAGAATAGAGATCTTACCCCTGTTGCATATTTTGCATACATCACACCATTCCATTCCCCTTCAATTGAGCAAAAAGACTTCTTGTCATTTGGAGAACTGAGCAGAAAAGGAAATACTTACGTTAGTCTCAAGTTGAAAATTATTCTACCAAAGAATCTGCTCAGTGCAGCCCAACTACAGAGTAGAGGACAGAAGAGCAACTGTGAAGTTTCTGACAAAAGTATCTTAACAGAACTGGACTCCCCAGGGCTAACTTTAAGAATGAGGGCCTTCAACAAGATGCTTATGAACTCAAGATCCCAAGAACAGTGGGAAGGGGCAAGAACGTCCTATTCTGGGTGCTAGGACCATAATAAACTTGGCAAATTCCCTAACCTCAAGCTGTCTACAGCCTAGTGGAGACAGACATCACCACTGAGATTTTAGGTGGTAAGTGCTGTGGTGAGCTTACATGGGCACTGGGGTTCAGGACCAAAAAACTGCTGATGTCAGGGTCAGGGAAGGCTTTGCTTTAGAAATACGATGCTGGAGACTAGGCTTTCATCCTCAGGTTGAAAGGGACCTCTGTGCCAAATGGTGTGAACACTTTCTCTGAGCAAGGATCCATTCTGCAAAAGCTATAACAGACCTCTACTTGGACACACACGTATGGAATGTGAGAAGACTAAGCAACACAACAATGACCTGGTTAGGAAGGGCAAGGCATAAATAGACTGAAAGAGGCCAGAAAAGGGAGAAGTGAACAGGGCAGAGGGAGGAGAGCTGCTATCAATGCCTGAAACTTTCTTTCCCACTGTCCCCTTCCCCCCAGAGAAGGGCTTCAGAGGCAGAGAAAGTCAAGGTGGCATCACTGTAGAAGTTCCTCTTCTAGGCTCTGGACCAGCCCAACTGACTGGCACTGTCATCTTCATTCATCTGACCCAAGAGTGTCAAATGGAAGCAAGCCAGGTGCCTGCAGAATGTGATGGTTACTGTTTTTCCCCAGCAAATGCACAGATGTGAGGACTTGGAGGCACTGCTGCAGGGGGTCACAAAATCTGCTGTAAGGACCAGCTCATGGTCCAGTCTGGCAAGAATAAGTTAGGGATCCAAACTGGGGTTAGCTAGGCAACCTAGAAAGCCGTCTTTCAGTTCAACATCTCAAGTCAGGTTCTTAGGAAGGAAACCTATCAATGACCTCTGACTGCTCTGAATACAGGTTTTAGGTCTTCTGATACAGGATTTTAACAAAAGACATGACACATCAAATGTGAAGCAAGCTAACAAAGACAGAACCATTCTTTCACAGTCCTAATCCAGAAGCTATAGTTCAAGACAAAAGGCAATTATTTCAGAAAAGCTTTAAAGCTCTGAGGCAGAAAAAATACCTACAAAATCTCAGCAGTAATTCTGTGCTTCTTGCCCCCATAGAAGGGTTTAGTGTGGAAGATGATATTTGCACTATAGCCTGTTTTGGAACAATTAATATTGCATTCTCCTCCTAATTCCACCCAGGGCACTGTGAGGATAGACCTGCAAAATCAAAAGTTTTTAAGTAAGGCTGACAGTTGAGAGGAAAGATGGGGAAGGGGCATGTCTCAAGGAACAGCAGAATCTACTGCTGATCAGAGGAAATGGACACACTTGCCTTCCATAGCCGTTGGGGAATGTGAGAATGTAATGTTCATCGTAGTCAAGACATGAGACACAGCCTGTGGAGAGAAGGAATAGAAATCTGATGAGTAGTGTCAAGTGGCTACAAGGGTTTCTTGTTGAGTTG